TGCACATCCTTCTAGTTGCTGTATGTGGGACGTGGCCTCAGCATGGCCGGAGAAGCGGTGCGTTGGTGCGCGCCCGGGATCTGAACCCGGGCTGCCAGTAGCAGAGCGTGCGCACTTAACTGCTAAGCCACGGGGCCGGCCCTATAATCTCTTTCAAAATGTCTCTCAAAACGTATCCTCTACTTTTCATTCCTACATCCAGGCTCTAGTTCAGGCCATCATCATCACCACCTGCATGGATTACTGCCATGGGCTGTAGGTTGGCTCCTTAACTCAACTCTTTGTTAACTTGTTCTGTTTACTATTGCCAGAATAATCTTCCCTAACACTTCAGGTGACATTATTCCTCTCCAGTGGCTTCCTTTTTCCTTTCTCATCAAGTTTAAATTACTCTGCCTTATTTTCAAGGCCTTCTATAATCTGGCCTAATCTTCCCTATTCAGTGTTTCTCTTTCCTAGCCTTCATGCCTTTTGGATGTATCTCCTCTTAGGCCACTAATAAACACTCCAAACACAGTTTTTATTTGCATCACCTAGACTGTCTTCCCTTCCATTGTCGGAAACCTACTTTATCTTTCAAGTTCATTTCCATTTCTTCCATGGTAACTTTTTCTACTGCTATTTTTGTTAGTAAGTAGGTCTTTCTTTCAATTGAGAAAGTATACATAGACATGATAAAAAATTCCCCAAGTTCAGAGGTGTAGAATGAGTGAAATATAAGTGTGTCTTCCATCTCTTCCCTCAGGTCTCCTCTGCAGAGGCAAACACTGTTAGTAGTTTCTTACGTATCCTTCCTGAATTTTTTCATCCATATGCAAGCATGTATATGTCCCATCTTTTTTCCGTACAAATGAAAATATACTATATGCAAGTTCTGAACCTTTTATCACTTAACAATGCATCTTGAGGAATATCTCATATTAGAACATAGATCTGTATTCTTTTACCAGCTGTGTGATACTCCCTTTATATTCCCAGTCCCCCACTGATGGACATTAGAGTTGTTTCCAATACTTCTACTGTTACTGTTTACATTGCTACATTGACCTGTTTGAAAAAAAAAATCACCTTTGTGGACATAAACTTCTAAAAGAGGAGTTTTGGGGCTCAATGATACATACTTTAAAATTTTTTTATATTTAATGCCAGTTACCCACCGATGAGGTTTACACCATTTCACCTTTCTATCAACAGTGTGTGAGAGCACCTTTTCCCCACACTGTTTTCAGTGTTATGTATTATTAAACTTCAATCTTGGCCAATCTGATTGGTGAAAAGCAGCTCTTATTTTAATTTAAAATTTTCAGAGGCCAGCCCAGTGGTGTAGTAGTTAAGTTCACGTGCTCTACCTTGGCAGCCCAGGGTTCACAGGTTCGGATCCCAGGTGTGGACCGATGCACCACTCATCAAGCCATACGGCGGCAGGCGTCCCACATATAAAGTAGAAGAAGATGGGCGCAGATGTTAGCCCAGGGCCAATCTTCCTCAGCAAAAAGAGGAGGATTGGCAATAGATGTTAGCTCAGGGCTAATCTTCACCAAAAAAAAAAATATATATATATTCAAATTATGACTGAGGCTTACCATCTTATATTTAAAAGTCATTTTTATAAATTTTATCTGCGAACTACTAATTTTTCTATTGGGACTTTTATTAGTAAGAACTTTTCATAAATTAAGATTATTGGGCCTTTATTGATCTTATATGATATGAATTTTTTTTTCCAGTTTTGTCAGTTATCTTATTTTACTTTTTCTTTTCCCGTGTTAACTCTTAGTACTTTTTACAGTTTTTTTATTTGCCATAAAAAAGAAACAAGGATCTAGTTTTGTTTTACCCAGGTGACTGGCCAGTTGTCCTTGAACTATTTATTGAATAATCCCTCTGATTTGAAATGCCATTATCATATATTCTGTGTGTGTTTGAATCTATTTCAGGGACCAGTTCTCTCTCATTGATTTCTCTGTCCATGAGTAGGAAAATGTTCTTTGATTTCTATAGGTTTATTATACATTTTAATATTTGGTAGAGCTTCTTTTGTCTCATTATACTTTGCCAGAATTTTTCTAAATATTTGCTGATTTGTATTTTTCTATATGATCTTTAGAAGCAGATTGTCTAAGGCCCCCCCCCAAGATTTTGTTGATATTTTTATTTGGGTCATATTAAATTTATTGTTTAATTTAACCCCTTGTGAAATTTTATTTTTAATTTTTCTGCTAGTCTTTAAATTTTGCTTATTTTCTGAATCTTTCTCTTTGTGGGAGAATGGGAATTAGTTTAATTTAACAGGGTATTTGTATTATATTTAATTTGACCCTTTATATTACATACAGTAATGTCATAGAGTCATACGAGTAAATATACAGGATGAGGCAAGAGTCACTATACTATGAGCATATATTTATAGTTGACTGCATTGAAATAAGAACTAGCATCTTGTTTTCAGTAATACTTCAGACCACCTTAGTCAGAAATAGAGTAAATGACCTGAAATGGAGGAGGATAGGTAGCTCAGTCCCTTATAAAGGAGATAGGATGCCACACTCTCTATTATTTTAAAAAAATATACATACATGAACTAATATTCATATCACTCAGGTAAGCAAAATATGGTGGAGGTTCTGCTTGTGAGGACTAAATAGTACATAATTCAAAGTGGTCTTAATAAAAAGTCACGCATGAAGACTTTTTTTAAATAGGCTTTATTTTTTAGAACAGGTGTAGATTTACAGAAAAATGGAGAAGATAGTACAGAGGATTCTCACACACCCCATACCCAGTTTACCTATTATTGATATTTTACATTAGCATGGTATGCTTGTTATAATTAATGAACCAGTATTGATACATTATTATTATTAACCTAAGTTCATACTTTGTTCTAGTTGCTTTAGTTTTTACCTGGTGTCCTTTTTCTGTTCCAGGATCCCATCTAGGATACTGCATTATATTTAGCTAACGTATCTCCTTAGGCTCCTCTTGGCTGTGGCAGTTTGACTTAAGTTTTTTATCGTGAAAAAAGATACAATTTTTCTAAAAGCTAGAAAATTTAAAAAGAGTAGACAGTTTCAAAGTCTATTGATGTTTTAACTTTGTGTTCCTTTCTCCTCTGCATTTCAGGCACTCTGTGAATGTGCCCTCCAGACTCCTTATGACAGCTTAAAACTTGGGATGTTGTCTGTCCTCTCTACGCTGTCAGGGACCATCGCTGTCAAACATTACTTCAGCATAGCTTCGGGTGAGGAGAAGAAAGGAGATAATGTGTGGATAATGTGCAAATCCCTTTATTCATGTTGATGTTTTAAGTTGTTTCCTCTGTTAAGCTTTAGAAGCAAGAAAGGTTTCAATCTTGTATTTGATTATGCTAGTGATTTATTTGAAAATGATTTCTTAACTGATGCCTATAGTAATAAAATCTTGCATCCTTGATCTTAAGGATGTTGTTTTTCTAGATTTGCCCTTTTTGAGTTATATATGGGTGAAACTATTTTTGAGGAGGCTTAAAATATCTGCTTTGCTTTTGTATGTCTCTGACTCCAAGTGCCCTTTGGATTTAAGTACGTTTCAAAGGCCAAATGGTGGTAAATCTTAAGAGCAAATGTCATATGCTTCCTTTTAGGGATGTTATCTCTCTGGAAAATGGTTAAAATAAAACTTTACCCCAGTTCCACAATGCTTTCCTAGTTGCCTATTCAAGATGATTTAACTCCAAAATGCCTTTGTTAATGTCCAGTGAGGAGCTTGCTGACTTAACAGAGTTAAGGCTGAAGTTTTTTGTTGTTTTGTTTTAATGCAAGTTCTATGGAATCTCTGTTGCTTCCTTTTCTAGTCAGTTAGGATTGAATTAATTAAAGAACTACAGTGTACGTTTGTCCTTTTTATGGCTTCACAGCATATGAACTTACTGGGTAAAGGGAATTCCCCACCATCTAAGTCTTCATAGCAAGCTGAAAAGACCTGATATTCTTTTGCCAAGCCTCGCTGCCACCTAGGGTGCACACATGTGGCCTGGACTCAGCTAGTTATTTTCAGACCACAGATTGAAGTGTGAACCAGTAACAACAAGAATTAGGGATGCGGGAGAATCCATTCTAGCGATATAGCAATGACCACAGCAACATCCGGTTTCCAGGGTTCACTCTAGCAGTGGATGTTTGCTATATCTGGTACCTTGGGCAGCATTGTAAGCTGTGACATCACGGAATCAGTAACAATGGCAGTAATGTCTTCACTGGACTAATTCCATGCATGGTTTGGGCTCTGATCTTGGTTGCTGTCTAGCCTTGCCTTTTTCCTGTCCATTTTCTGAGCTTAGTTTTCCAACCTTTCCAATAATTCTATGAGGAACTTCTATATCAGTTATCTATTGCTACATAATAAATCATATCCAAACTTGTGGCTTAAAACTATGACCATCTTATTTGCTCTGATTCTGCATTTCAGCAGTTTTGATGGCCTCAGCTAGGCAGTTCTGCTGGTCTCACCTGGGCTCACTCACATGACTGCAGTCTCTTGGAGCTTTGACCAGACTGGATGGTCTAAGGTGGCCTCATTCATCAGCTAGAGATTGAAAGACTTTCAGCTGAGGCACCATAGTTCTCCTCCATGTGGCTCTTGGCAGCCTAGCCTGGGCTTGTTTACATCATGTTCTCAGGAGTCTAGCTGCAGCCAAAAGAGGACAAGCCACCAACACACAAGACTTCTCAGCCTTTTGCTTGCACATGTTTTTTAATGTCTCATTGGCCAAAGCAAGTCACATGGCCAAGCCCATAAAGGTAGAGAAATAAGCATCTCTTAATGTGAGGAATTGCAAAATTACACTGCAAAGGGGCATGCCTACAAGGGATGGGAGAGATTATTGCAACCTTTTTTATCAACAATCTACTATACACCCATTATGCTTTCAGTAAATTCTTTTTCTGCACAAAGCAGCCTGTTTCAGTTTCTTAGCTTGTAGTTAATATTCTTGACTGACATCACACTTAGAAAGAGCTGCAGTAGACAAATTATTAATTGTATCTTAAAATTTATAAGAGCCTTCCCATACGACATCTCATTGCTTCTGTATAAGTAGTCTTTCAAGTGAGCACATGCAACGGAGTTGATAAGTATTGAAACAGAGGCTCACAAAGTTTCAGTGATATATCCAAAGTCACATACTGATGAAGTGCCTGAGCCTAGGCCTGAACCCAAGGGTCCTGACTCGGGATTCTTTTTTATACTAAACTGACCTAGATGCAAGAGGACTTTCTTTTTCTTTATTTTTTAGTTCCAAAGACATTTGTAAGTTGTGTCGGGTCATAATAGGCAAGCACTTCTCAAGCTAGATATTTTATTTGTCCTTTTATTGAATTTTTTAAAATGGCACTTTGTTTATGGAATTAAGCAAAAGGCTTAAATAACCAGACTAGGTGATGTTCGCAAGACATGAAAGTCAGGGATTTTCCAAAGTTAGATTATTTCCATAGATATTAGTAAATGTTTAAGTATATTTTCATTGATTAGATGTTTTTCTATATAACCAGGATAAATAGTTTGTAAAACAAACTTAAATTTAGTGTGTCTACATTATTGCTAGCAAATGGATCTTAAGCATGTAATATGTTCAGTATCACACATACCTAAGAAAAATGCAAATTAAAACAACACTGAAATACTTTACCATTCCATCAGATTGGTAATATGCTGTGTTGGCAAGGGTCTGGGTAAACAGGTACGCTCATTCATTGCTGGTGGGAATGTAAATTATTAAACCTCTGCATGGGTGATTGAGAAATACTCATCAAAATTATAAATGACCCAGAAATTCCACTTCTAGGAATTTATCCTGCTAGTATATTTACACATTTGAGAAATGACATATATACAGGGTTATTCATAGCATCATTGTACGCAATAGCAAAATATTGTCCATCAGTAGGGGATGGATTAGCATAAAAAGGTCCATCATTAAAGAAATTATGATACATAACTGCAATAGAAATCAGTGTAATTTATTTAACAAAATATATGGCATGGAATAATCTTCATGATGTAGTGTTTATTTTATTTTATTTTTTAATTTTATTTATTTATTTCCCCCCAAAGCCCCTGTAGATAGTTGTATGCCATAGCTGCACATCCTTCTAGTTGCTGTATGTGGGACGTGGCCTCAGCATGGCGGGAGAAGCAGTGCGTCAGTGCACGCCCGGGATCCGAACCCGGGCCGCCAGCAGCTGAGCGCGCGCACTTAACTGCTAAGCCACAGGGCCGGCCCTATGATGTAGTGTTTAAAGAGAAATAAAGCAAGATGCAAAACTGTACAAAAAAGGAAAAAGAAAGAAAGGAACATGTATGCTTAAAAATCTGTAGACTCTCTGGAATGATACACAAGAAACTGAAAACATTGGATGGGTGAGGAAGACTTTCACTCACTAACTTTTACCTTTTTCTTTTTGTTAAACCTTTTGAACTATGTGAATTTACCTTAGTAAGTAATTTCTAAATAAATAAAAATTAAATTGAAAATAATAATTTTATCCCTGAAAAAGTTAACATAGAAAAAAGCTCAAAAATATATTTTAAAGATAGAATATTAGCCAGTATCTACTTATCCTGATTATGTATGAATTTTTAAGTTATATTGCTGTACATAAGGGGAAAAAAGATTTAAAATAAATTTTCCAGAAAGGTAACAATAAGGTCATGCTGATTTGTGGGATTTGGGATGATTTTTGTTTTTTGCTTTGGATTTTTCTGGGTTTTTTCCCAAGATTTCCATGGTGAGTCTTGATAGGAAAAATGCAAGTTGCAAAACATGTTTGTAGATTTATTGATGAGTCTGCATTGTCCATATCACATGGACAAGAAAAAGCATGGAGGAAATATAGTTTCCATAGTTTTGAAAAAATGGACATGTAGTTTCATCTTTCTAATGCTTTGCCTATTTTAAAAACACTGATGCTTTGCCTAAGCTAGTGCTATTACGTTAAACTGGAAATCAGTAAGGTGACCATATGTCCCACAGTGTCTGAGATAGTCTTGGTTTATGCCTGATGTAATTAGTAATAGTGTCCCCTTCAACCTCAAAAAATATAATCACCCTTGGTATGAGAGACAAGGTTGAAGTTGATAGGAATCATGGAAAAATAAGCAGAAGAAAGGAAGACAGAAATGAGAGACTGCCAAGAAGTTGAATAAGCTTTCATCTCCTGATTCTTCTTAAAGTTCACTCACTTATAACTGAGAGCTGCTCTACTATAAATAAAAACATTCACAACATAAACCTTACGTTACAGAATTTCAAGTGTGAATTTAAAAAGTTGCTGCCATCTATAGCTTAGAACTTAAGGTATAAAGCACAAGGGTAGTGCACAACTAACAAGTTTTATGACCTTGATGGCAAGATGCTTAAAATCTTTGGGCTTCAGTTTCTTCTGTAAAAATAGGGTGTTGAATTAGATGATCCCAAAATCCTTTCCAGCTCTAAAATCACGAATTCTTGTATAAACCTTTTGAGATATCACTATATGTCAGCAATTGAGGTGGGAAAAGCAAACTTAAAATTTTTGTTTCTCTTTTCTTTCCTCTCTTGAAGGTGAGGTTTTATCTGACAAGAAGCCTGTAATGACATCCAATTTAATGAGAATCCATTTGAACTCCCAAGATACAATCTATAGTTGTTTTGGCTTTAAAAACTAGTCAGTTTTTATTAATATTTTTGTGGGAATGCCCTATATTGATTTTAGATCTTGACCGTTACAAACCTATTAGCACATACCTATTCTGTGTACCTTGACAGGAGACAGAGACATGATGATGTATGTTGACAATGAGATAGAGGTAGAAAATTTTGTTAAAGTATGTTGTTAGAGATTTTCTTCTGAAAGTGAGAGAAATGAACCTATAAGCTGAACTGTTTCTGAACTGTATAAATGAATTAAATCTGTACTACTTTTCTCTGCTTGTTCAGGAAATGTAGGTTCTTCCCCCAGATCCTCTGATTTAGTCAAATTAGCCCAAGAGTGCTGTTACCATAATAACAGGGGCATTGCAGCTCATGGAGTGCGAGTCCTAACTAATATAACCGTCTCTTGTCAAGAAAAAGGTAAGTTTGACCAGGACTGATATGATGTAAAAACTTTGGGATTGGAGCTTGGGCAGGATTCTTTGTGTGTTTGGTTTTTTAATCCCTTATTTTTAGCTTGTGTGCTTTTCTCTATTAGTTACCTCCTTCTGAAGTGTTCTTAGAGCAAGTTTTCTCAAGACTATTTAATCCTCTGAAAAAGAAAAGAAAATATACGAGGACCTTGGAACTGAGATTGTGGAATTGAAAGGTTTTAGGGAGCATTGCCCATTTCCTCCCACTGCCTACGTTTGCATGTATGGTGCTGTGGATAGGAATTATTTATGACTCTACCCTGTGGTATAAGACACTTTGTTCAACTTGGAAAATTTAGGAAAAAATATCTTAAGTTACCAAGGGGCTTAAATAACAAATAGTTTTACCTAGGGGCAAGTGAATTAACAGAGTGATGTGAATTAAGTTTTCATAGAATTTATCTCTAGATATCTATAGCATTAAACTGACTTGCATAATTAAGAAGGACATGCATAGAAAATAATGCATATATTTTATTGTATTCCTAACATCTTTTGACCTAAAGACTTAAAGAAGTTCATACTAGTGTTCAAAACCAGGAAGTGCATTTTGGATGTTCCATCTGTTTCTGTGCTTATTTTGATCTTTAAGGATCATAAGCTCACCAGTCCCTCTTATCCCCACTAGGCTTCAGCACTGCTCGTTCCTAGTACCTATTTTTTTCTAGCACCCTGACCTTCACTAGACTTAACACTGTTTGCCAAGCCCCTACACTAACTCAGGAGACATTTCTTTAAGTTGTATGTTAATTCTGATTTGAATAATTAAACTTGTTTTATTTTTGTCATAGTGATGAATGTTTTCTACTGTGTAACATAGAAAACTGCTTTATGTTCTCAAAGCTGACACATATTAACCTAAATATGATTAACTAATATATTTAGAACTTTCTAGAACCTCTAGAGAAATTTTAGCCCTAAGGAAGTGAAAAGATGCTGTAGTACTGCTATTACATGAGACATCTAAGGAGTTCGTTCTTTATGGTCCTATTTAAAACTTTAATAAGATTATATGTAGTCTTCATTACTTCCTGAAAGTGGTTCAACTTTCGATAGAAGGTTACATCCTAGGTGAAAATGGACGTGCATAATTTATATCTAATTAGGAAGATTAACACATACTACATGGTTTGCTCTTCCTAGTATTTTCCTTAGCTAAACTGGTGACGCTGTTTCAGTTATGCTTTATTTGTACCTTTGTGGCTTTAGCTCTTGATTTAATAAATATATATATGTCATATATATATTTTAATATTAGTTTCAGGTGTACAATGTAATTATTTTATATTTCTATATATTGCAAAATGATCACCACAGTAAGTCTTGCTAACATCTATTACTATATATAGTTATAAATGTTTTTTTCTTATGTTGAGAACTTTTAAGATCTACTCTCTTAACAACTTTCAAATATACAATACAGTATCATTAACTATAGTCACCATGCTGTTCATTACATCCCTAGGACGTATTTATTTTATAACTGGAAGTTTGCACCTTTTGACCCCCTTCCCCCTTTTCTCCCAACCCCCACCTCCCACCTCTGGCAACCGCCAATTTATTCTTTGTATCTATCAGCTTGGCTTTTGTTTGTTTATTTTAGATTCCACATATAAGTGAGATCATACGGTATTTGTCTTCCTCTGTCTGACTTACTTCACTTAGCATAATGGCTCAAGGTGCATCCATGTTGTTGCAAATGGCAAGATTTCCTTCTTTTAATGGCTGAATAATATTTCATTGTATATGTGTGTGTGTGTGTGTTTATGTATCACATTGTCTTTATCCATTCATTCATCATTGAACACTTCGGTTGTTTCCAGATCTTGGCTATTATAAATAATACTGCAGTGAACATGGGGTGCATATATCTTTTTGAGATAGTGTTTTCATTTTCTTTGGATAAATATTCAGAAGTAGAAGTGCTAGATCATATGGTAGTTCTATTTTTAATTTTTGAGGAACCTCCATACTGTTTTCCATAGTGGCTATAGCAATGTACATTACCACCAACAGTGCGTGAGGGTGCCCTTTTCTTCAGATCCTAGCCAACACTTCTTGTTTCTTATCTTTTTGATAATAGCCATACTAACAGGTGTGAGGTGATATTTCATTGTGGTTTTGATTTGCATTTCCCTGATGATTTAGTGATATTCAGCATCTTTTCTTGTACCTTTTGTCCATCTGTGTTTCTTCTTTGGAAAAATATCTATTCAGATCCTCTGCCCAGTTTTTAATTAGATTGTTTGGTTTTTTCGCTATTGAGTTGTATGAATTCTTTATATATTTTGGATATTAACCCCTTATCAGATATATGATTTGCAAATATCTTCTCTCATGTGTAAGTTGCCTTTTCATTTTGTTAATGGTTTCCTTTGCTGTGCAGAAGCTTTATAGTTTAAGTTAATGTATATATTTTTATGTTCTTCAAAAAAGTAGTGGAAATATAAAAGTCTGAAGATAGACTTTACATTTCAGAAGTAATGCCACATGTACTTTTTCAGGAAGGTTAGCTTTACCCATTGAAGTGTTTCGTATATTCAGACCTCTTAATGTTTTTTTTCCTAAGTGTGTATGTGTGTCTGTTTAATCTTCTGTACTTGACCACTATCAAACTTAGTATTTTTCCTCTAGACCTTTTGGCACTGGAACAAGATGCAGTCTTTGGCCTGGAATCCCTTCTGGTACTTTGTAGTCAAGATGATAGTCCAGGTGCTCAAGCTACTTTAAAGGTGAAAACATCAGTTATTTTAATATAATGTCTTTTTTCATTGCCTAAACTAGTAATTGGCAATCTCTCTGTAAAGAGTCAGATAGTAAGTATTTTAAGTTTTGCAGGCTATGCACTCTTTGTCACAGCTACTCAGTTCTACCATTGAAGGACAAAAGCAGCCATGGACAATGTGTAGAAAAAAAGGAAGGGTGGTGGTGTGGCTGTGTTCCAAAAAAACATTATTTACAAAAAACAGGCAGGATTTGGCCCAAGGGCATTAGTTTGTTAACTCTTGCTTAAACAAACATTTGCCTTGATCTTTACTTTCAAAAATAGCATTTTGACTGTTGTTGTTCCAAAAGATAAACAGAGTAAAACTCTGAGCTTTGGCCTATTTTGCCATCAGTTAACAGTGTTTATTAAGTTGTAATAGATACATATGATAGTCCTAGACAATATAAAGCAAAGTTCAATAGGCAGAGCTCCTGCACTTTGGGAAGTTTATAATCTGAGGTAACACTGATAAGGTCACAAAAATCTGATGAAATAACTGCAGCCAAACTCATAAATGTATAAGTGTATATTAATTTCCTGGGTATAGAAGCCTTAGTTTTTAAGCCAAGTGAAGAATTACTGTAAAATTTTCCACTTTCACTTAATTATAGAAGTCATCTTAGAGATATTTAAGACTTTTAAAATGTGAAATGAGACTACTCTTATTGGAGTGAAACATGAAATATAGTTTGTGATAGTATAAAATTAATAATTAAGAAAAATAGTGTTAATAGAAGTAAAAGTTAAGTAGACATTGGAGAATGTGAGAACTATAGCTTGTGTAAGGTATGGTTTGAAGGAAGTCATGACTTATTTTAGCATGTTAAGAAAAGGTATGATGTGGTCATAGTAATAAATAATAAAGATACTAGTACTATTAAATAAAAGCTGAGGGGCCAGCCCAGTGGCCTAGCGGTTAAGTTCATGCACTCCGCCTCAGCAGCCCGGGGTTCACAGGTTCGGATCCCGGGTGTGGACCTATGCACCACTTATCAAAGCCATGCTGTGGCAGTGTCCCATATAAAGTAGAGAAAGATGAGCACGGATGATAGCCCAGGGCCAATCTTCCTAAGCAAGAAAGAGGAGGATTGGCAATGGATGTTAGCTCAGAGCTAATCTTCCTCAAAGAAAGTAAAAGTAAAAAAAATAAAAGCAGATAATCAAGAAGTGGGAAAGGAAGTAGGCAACGTGTGTTTGGCAAGTGAGTCATCCCTAGAATCCCTTTGGAACCATAATACATTTACTTAAAAGTTTAAAAAAGAAAGAAAGAGAGTAAACCAAATCGTTTTCCCACCAATTGTAGGTGTCAATAAAACTCTGGTCCCACAGCACAGGGACATACGTAGACGGTCAAGAAAGGTCCCTGTGTTAGAGGAGCTCCCATCCAGAGAATACTGACAATTATATAAGGAACTCTAATCTCAAGCAGAATGCAGTAAGTTCTCTGGTAGTACAAACAAAAGTGCAATTCTAATGAGAGGACAGAGCTGGGAGCGATTAATTTCAACTAAGGATATTAGGGAAGACTTGAACAAGTAGATGTCATATGAGCTGAGCCTTGAAAGATAGGATAGAATTTCAGTACAGTCATGCACTGCATAATGACGTTTCAGTCAATGACAGACCTCATATACAACAGCGGTCCCATAAGGTTAGTACCATATAGCCCAGGTGTGTCGTAGGCCATACCATCTTGGTTTGTGTAAGTACACTCTGTGATGTTCACACAATGACAAAATCGCCTAATGATACATTTCTCAGAACATATCCCTGTACTTAAGCAACGCGTGACTGTATTGAGGAAAGATCATTTGAACCTGAGGGACCACTGTTACAAAAGACGTGAAAGCAGAAATGTACCTGTTATGTTGGAAGAATGATGAGTAGCCCATTTTGCCTGGAAGACATATGAGATTGGAAAAGTAGTTTGCAGCCCATTCATGGAGGATATCAAATATCATGCTAAGGAGCCTTGGCTTGATTCTATAGGTAGTGAGGATATATTAAAATTTTGAAGTAATGAGTGTTCTCTAACCTTTGTTGTAATTATTAATGTTATTTAAATGTGTCTATTATGTGTCAAACTTCGTTGAAGGCTTGTATATACATTTCTTTAAATCTTTACAATAACGTTATCTAGTGAAATTTGTCCTTCTCGTATTCTCATGAGGAAATTAAGACTCAGAGAGAGAAAATAACTTGTTCAGAGACCTGGCTAATAATAGGCAAGCTGACTTTAACTCTGGGTCTGTCAGACCCTAAAGACATCATTATGTCTTTGTAACACTTGAAAACCACATGGTTATAAGGTGAAGGATGGGTCAATGGGCCCATCTTCTCAAGCGATTAGAATTAGGGAGAGAGGGGCCGGCCCCATGGCTTAGTGGTTAAGTGCGTGCGCTGCGCTGCACTACTGGCGGCCCGGGTTCGGATCCCGGGCGCGCACTGACGCACCGATTGTCCAGCCATGCTGAGGCGGCGTCCCACATACAGCAACTAGAAGGATGTGCAGCTGTGACATGCAACTATCTACTGGGACTTTGGGAGAAAAAGGGGGAAAAAAAAGAGGAGGAGGATTAGCAATAGATGTTAGCTCAGGGCCGGTCTTCCTCAGCAAAAAGAGGAGGATTGGCATGGATGTTAGCTCAGGGCTGATCTTCCTCACAAAAAAAAAAAAAACCTTTAAAGAAATAAAGAATTAGTAGGGAGAGGTTTGTCTTGTGGTAGCGAGAATGGGAAGGAGCTAAAGAGGCAGATGTTAGAGACTTGACAAAAGTGGAAATGACTAGATTTAGCTATCAGTTGCCTATGTAAAAGTGAGAGGACTTCTGGGGTTCTACTTTGGGTGGTTGGGATATTAGTGATGCCATTAACTGGCCTGAATAGAAAGTCTAAAGCCAGTTGGTTTTTAGATTAGAGTTGAGAAATAAGAGAGGAAATTAGAAGCCTCTTCCCCACTTCAGTGTGCTTAAGAGTCACCTAGGGCACCTTTTTTAAACTGAAAACTCTCAGTAATCCAAACACCCAAAAAAAAAAAAAAACAAAAGTTAATCCATTAAGTTTGGGATGGGTAGGGGCAGGAATCTATTTTTATTAGCATCCTAGGAGATACTGGCATAGGTAAGTTTACAATTACCCCTTAGAAGCAGTTCTTGAAAAATAATGAAAGTGCAGTAATGGTGACACTCAGTTGGCATATATTTTGCCTCTTCAGCATTATTCCTTTTGATTTTCACCTCAGGTCTTTTATTTTAATAGTCTTAGATTGAAATGAGTGGTTAATGTACACTCCTGACGTTATTTTGGTTTTGAACATGGTACACTTTGCAGATCCTAATATGGGATTCAATATGTCATGTGTTTCTTATGAATAAAAATGTTATGCCTACAGAAAATCTTTCCTAATAACTTGTACAAAGTTCTTTTCTTTGAAACTTCACTTAATACCTTTAAATTGTAACTGGTCCATTTTCTATTCATTGTGCAGATTGCTCTGAATTGTATGGTGAAGTTGGCCAAGGGTAGGCCCCATCTTAGCCAGTCAGTGGTTGAGACCTTGTTGACTCAATTGCACAGTGCTCAGGATGCTGCCCGGATCCTGATGTGCCATTGCCTGGCTGCCATTGCCATGCAGCTGCCGGTGCTGGGTGATGGAATGCTTGGTGACCTCATGGAGCTCTACAAGGTGATCGGCCGATCAGCCACAGACAAGCAACAAGAACTTCTGGTAAAGAGCCACTTTTTGAATCTGCTGTAGATGAATAGGATCTGGTTTAGTTGGAATTACTTTAAGGAGTCAACATTACTGTTTGACTTTACTTAAAAAGCAAAACAAACAAGTTAAAATAATTATCTAAGACCAAGAGCGTTTCGAAGTCAAAATAGAATTGGAACCATGAGCTTTTTTACTATTTCCACTTTTGATTTAGAAAGCCCTATTTAGTTCAGATCTAAAACTGCTTTCTTCCTAAGCCCTGTCAAGTCAACTTAGTGTAGCCAAAGTCTTCAATCTGATGTTTTTGTTTTAGTACAAAGAACAAAATGAAAATGAATTTTTTTTCTTTCTTATACGAAGCAAATAAATAATGAACTAAACCCTGTTTTGTACTTCCAAAAATATAAGTGAAAGACCTAATGATAACAGTGACCACAAATTAGCCCAAATTCTTCTTTTCCAATCCAGGACCTCTAGCTGTTTAGGATCCAATTTAGGTTTTGGTATAGTTCTAGGGTTGGGAGATGAACGTGTTTAGAAAGAAATAGAAGGCATGGAAGTTATATAATACTGTTTAGTTGAAAGTTCTCCAGGGCTGAGAATAGGCTACATTCTAAATAGGCATAAATTAGATATAAGTCTTAAATTGGCCACTCTGTGTTGTTTGTGATCATCTGAATTTAGGGCTTGGGAAAAAGCGTAATGAAATTACTTACTCAAGCCTGTTTTATATTTAATCCTCCAGGGGCATTATGTAAAACATTGCCACCATCTCATTTGCTATCAGGAAAGGTTGCCCTGATGATCAGGTGGCAGTGGTCATGGGAATGACATCATTCAGTTATCACAATATGTGTAGGTCTTTGTATGTATTGGCTTTGGAATACTAAGAAGCAGTTAGGCGAGTTTATTTTTTATTGAATCAGCATTTTCAACTAATATTCTTTATCCCTTTTTTGTTTGTACTAGTTTAAGGCAATTTTAAATTATGAAACATAATATTCAAAAAATGTCAGGAATAATATAATGAAAACTCTTGGCATCCATCGCCTAGCTTAGGAAAAAAATATTACCAATACCGTTGCATTGTATCTCCCCGTGTACCTCCCTGAAAGTATCTTACTCCTTCTCCCAGAGATAACTACTTATCCTGAATTTGGTGTTTATCATTCCTATGCATGTTGTTATATACATTTACTGCCTTAGTATATATCCTAAGTAATATGCAGTATTATTTTGCATATTTTTAGTTATATAAATGTTATCATACTACATGTAATCTTTTGCATTTTGCATGTTTTGTGAATCATCTATATTGATAAGTGTACCTCCACTTTATCCATTTCACTGCTGTGTAGTATTTCATTGTGTGATTATATCATAATTTATTTATCCATATTTATGGACATTGTTTCTAATTATTTGCTATTATAAACAATGCTCTCAGCAATGGAATAAATTAATGACTTCAAAGTGAAAAATTAATAAATGTGAAAAGAAAACAAACTTTGTTCTTTTTTGATGGGCTCTTATTAGTTTTTCTCCCTTTTGGGTAAAGTTATCTATGACACTGGATAGAATTATATGGTTTTCTTGATTTTCTTACTTCTTGCTCAATCTTAGGTGAGTTTGGCCACTGTGATTTTTGTGGCCAGTCAGAAGGCACTGTCTGCTGAAGTAAAGGCAGTAATTAAGCAGCAACTTGAAAGTGTCTCCAATGGGTGGACTGTATACCGAATTGCCAGACAGGCATCCAGAATGGTATGTATTATCCTTCGGTGTGAACTGGGTTGGTGAAAATGGCAGATTACAAACCTTAGATTGTATGATTGTTACTCCTCATCAAAACTGAAAATAAAGATGGAAGTACTTTTTAGTTATGGGGTTGAAAGATGATGAAGGAAAGGACCTATTTTTATTTTTAACTTTTCTCATATAAGCATGGTATATATGTTGTTATGGGAAGTTCCACAGGAATTCCAAAAATATGAGCCCTTTCTGGCTCTAGGTTGTTAGCACGACTTTCATTTTGCCCTATGCTCTCATAACCACAGTAAATGGGAAATGTTCCCTTCTCAGCCACATGGAAAGCCTAACAGTTTTTATTCATTTTGTTTGAGAAGAGACGATAGAACTTGGATAGTATGGAAATCCTTTGAGGATAAGTCCAGAGAGCAAAGTTTCAGAAGCATTATTCTAGGTGACTGAAGCACATGTTTTCATTTTACAGTGTTTCTCAAATGGGAGGAAGAGCACTGTTGACAGGACAGTTCTTCATTACACCCAACTGTCCAAGCATCCAAGCACTGCAGGCCATGGAGCATCCCTGGCCCGCAGGCATTAAATGGCATTACATTCCCCCCAACAACTGTCCCTCCCCAGTCATTTCCAGAGGCAGGTGCAGTTCTCCTCCTAGTAATCACTTGATGGAACTTGCTGCAGCTCCTCTACCCCACTAAACAGCTCATACAGAATGACATATAATAAGTATTTATACTTCCTATGTTTTGAACTAAAATTCTCGACTTGGGTTATAGTTAATTCCATTTATTTTGTCTTTGGAACTGTTGTAGTAAAGATTTTCAGGCATTGTGTTACATAGAAGCAGCTCCGCATATTTTCTCTGAAGTCTCAAAGGATTATGTAATGTGAGGAATGATTGTTAAAACTTAGCCACGGTTTGGGTTTGTCTTTTAGCTGCTACGTCAACTAATTCAAGTGTAAGAACTTCATCATGTGCCTCTTTTTTTTTTAGGGTAATCATGACATGGCCAGAGAGCTTTATCAGAGTTTGCTGACTCAGGTTGCCTCAGAACATTTCTACTTCTGGCTGAATAGTTTGAAGGAGTTCTCACATGCAGAACAGTGTCTCACTGGGTTGCAGGAGGAGAATTATAGTTCAGCACTTTCTTGCATTGCTGAGTCTTTAAAATTCTACCACAAAGGGATTGCTTCCTTAACAGTAAGTCCTCTGAATTCTCCTTTGGTGATGATGACTTGTGTGAGAATGGTCTCCCTTGTCTTTTTGAGTTATCATATTTTAACTACCTTGAAAAATCTGCTGATAAAAATATATGGCAATATTAAAGTAATAAATAGGACAGAGAAGTAAATCCTTCACTCCTCCTCACTTTTTAACATTTATTGATCGATGAAAGTTTATCATTTTGTTTTGATCAAGTACCAGGTAACACGTGTGAAGAGGATTGCTGAATCCATACAGAAAGGATAAGGGGAGATAGGATCCTACCTTTCTAGACTCCTATTAGTAAGACTCCAATACCACCATCAAATGTAAACCACCACCCCGCCCCAATCTCATACCTGGCAGCTACTCACTAAGAAACTACAGTTCTTGCTTTGTAGATAAAGAAGAAATTATCAAGGATGCTATTGTCCCACTTTTTACCCCTCTGTGATATCTTCCTATTCCAAATTAACAGTCAGCCAGCTAACTGTTTCCATTTTTTTCTGCCAAAAAAGTAAAGGAGTTGCAGAGAGGACAGACCTTTAACATTTCTTATGTTTCCTTGAAATTAATTATATTCCTAAGTAACAACCTATTCCCTAAAATTGGCATTTTCTGCATTAATCCAAGGACTTTTTCCCCTTACAAGTAAAGACTTTATATAATCAACATTAAACATTTTTTAAGTATTGTCACACAAAACTTTTAAAATTGTATATTTTTAGATGGGGCCATAAAACTTTTGGTACCTATTTACATACATTTATCACATAATCTAAAATATTTTTAATGGTGGGCCATCCCCAAAAAAATGCTTCAAAATAGAACAGAGAATAAACAGATGTCACAAAAGAGACAGACTATTCAGACTACTGTGGGTACATATCTTTTGAAGTATGATTTTTTTCTTTTGGCTAGGATTGATGGACTGCTGTTTTAAAACAGAAATATAGGAATCGCTCCTCTCCATTTTAAAGGGTAGCATTGACTACTGTGATTCTTCCCTCTTGATTATTCTAGGAAAAGATTGTTGTTGCCTATATCAGGCTAATAAATGCCTCAGAAAATCAAAAGATACAATTATTGGTTCTGGTCAGTAGAATTACTTCATTTTCTAGTTTATGTGGAGCAGAAAATTGTTAATCATTCAGTACAATAAATGGTGAGAACTGTGAAACAGACAGGCTCACAAAACAGTGAGGCAGATAGAACTGATATTATGAAAAATCCTGTTGAATATTTAATAGTCTTGTAATGATTTGTGTGGTATGTGTATTTAATGAGTCTTGGCAGTAATTAAAGACTGAATTATGACATAGGAAGAAAGTACTTGATTGACAGACAGAAGGCCCTTGTTTTAGTCTCCACTCTGCCATTAACACATTGTGACCCAAGACAGGTTATTGGGCCTCAAATCATCTTTTTTCGAAATGGAGTTCTCTTATTCAACAGACTGTAAATACTTGCTGTGTGCCAGGCAATGCTTTGAGAATACAAAAAATCAGGAAATGATTCTCTAGTTGAGAATAGTACAGACGGGAAGGCAGTATGATCCTTACAGTCGTTTGGAACTTCCCACATTTCTGATTCTAATGTACTATCAGGGCTTTTTAAAGATTTTTTTTTTTAATCGTTCATTGACAAGTGTGGATTTAACGGTAGCTTTCTGTTCTTTTAAATGAGAAGATATGAGTATGGACTGCCCTTTTACTCCCTGACACATGAATGATCTAACCTGAGATTGTACAGCTGTGAGGATTATGCTTTTTACCTGCTTCAACCAAACTAAGCAGGAGAAGTTCAAACTTCTGTGCTAATGGGCACCCTATGGCAACACTGGGTGTCTGATTTCCCAACATGGTGATTAATGATAGAGTTATCTTGCTTCTTAGGAATAAAAGTTGTAAAAAGTGTTTGTATTAGTTTTCTGCGCTGTGTACCAAGTTACTGCAAATTTATTGGCTTAGAACAACATTCATTTATTATTTCAGTTTCCATGAGCCAGAAGTCCAGGCATGGCTTAGCTGGGTTCTCTGCTCATATTGTCACAAAGTTGCAATCAAGGTGTCAGCCAGGACCAGTCTTGTCTGAGGCTCAAGGAGGCTCAGGGTCCTCTTCTAAACTCATGTAGTTGTAGGCGGAATTCATTTCCTCACAGCTGTAGATCTTGTAGAAGCTTCAAGGCCAGCAAGAGAATCTCTTACCTTCAAGACCCTCTTTTAATGGGCTCACCTTGTTAGGAGAGATCCACTCAGAATAATCTCCTTTTTGATTAGTATAAAATCAATTCATTAGGGACCTAAAATCCATCACCTTTGCCATATTCCATTAGTTAGAAACAAGTTATAGGTTCTGCCCACACTCAAAGGGAAGAGATTACCCAAAGTGTGGATACCAGGGGATGTGTATCAGAGGAACCATCTTATCATTCTGCCTACGATGGTGGATTTTTAATTTATTTTTAATTTTTGTTTTTATTAAATATTGAATAGATATAATATCTACATATATATTATGTATGGTGTATTAAAAAATACAACAAATATCCAGGTAGACTTAGCACCCAGTTTAGGAGATGAGACATTACCATTGCCTTTAAAATCCATGCATGCTCCTCCATGTTTGTCCCTTTCCTACCCCACAGAGGTAGCCACCATCCTGAATCTTGTGTGTACCGTTCCCTTGCCTTTTTAAATAATTTTAGCATGCTTTTTTGTAACTCTAAACAAGGTACTGTTTTGTGTCACTTGTTTTTGAATTTTTTATGAAAAGGAATCATATGTATCTTTCTTTGACTTGCCTTGATTATCTAAATTATGTCCCTAAGATTCATCCATCTTGTTGCATGAAGCTGTAGGTCAATTTCACTGATGTATACTCTTGTATCATATGAATATACATCAACTTATTTTTCCATTCTAGTGTTGATGGAAATTTTAATTTTTCCGGTTTTTGCTATCATAAACAGTACTGCTGTGAACATTCTTGTACATATCTTTTGATGCACCTGTGTAAAAGTTTCTCTAGGACAGTGATTCTCAACTGGGGATGATTTTACCCCCCAGGGGACATTTGGCAATGTCTGGAGACATCTTTGGTTATCACAACTTGCCAAGGTGTTACTGGCATTTAGTGGGTAGAGGCCAAGGATGCCGTTAAACATCCAGCAAGGCAGAGGACAATTCCCCTCTACGAAGAATTATTCAGTTCAAAATGTCGCTAGAATATGGAGGTTGAAAACCCCTCTCTAGGGCAGTAGACCTCAGTCAGAACTGTGTATCTGCCGCCTGCTCCAATTTAGAAGTGTGTGGGGATGTTTCTGTTTGTCACAGTGATGAAGGGACGGGGGACTGCTGCTGACTTTAGTGGTCAGTGACTAGAGATGATTAATCTCCGGAAATGCCAAAGACACTGCTGCCCCTATTAAGAGATGCCATTCTAAGATACCACCTAGGAGTGGAATTGCATAGGTTATGTGCATCAATTGACTAGCTATACCAGGGGGTTTTCCACAGTGGTTTTACAAATTTACAATCCTCCCAGCAGTGTATAAGAGTTCCTGTTGCTCTACATTTTCCCTTCACTTGGCATGTTCTGGAGGTGCTGATGGGTATTTCCCAAAATACTAGTACAATTAAACTTTTTTAAAAAATTTATTTTATTGAGGTATAATTGACATATAACATGGTAGTAGTTTCAGGTGTACAACGTAATGATTCAATATTTGTATATATTGTAAAATGATCGCTACAATAAGTCTAGTTAACATCCATCATCACACATAGTTAAAAATTTTGGTGTGTAATGAGGACTTTTAAGATCTATTCTCTTAGCAATTTTCAAATATGCAATATGGTATTATTAACTTTAGTCACCAGGCTGTACATTACATCCTTATGACTGACTTATTTTATAACTGGAGGTTTGTACCTTTTGACTCCCTCCACCCATTTCACCATCCCCCGCCTCTGGCAACCACCGATCTGTTCTCTGTATCTGTGAGCTTGGTTTTTGTTTTTGTTTTACATTCTACGTATAAGTGAGATCTTATGGTATTTGTCTGTCTCTGTCTGCCTTATTTCACTTAGCGTAATGCCCTCAAGGTCCATTCATGTAGTCACAAATGGCAAGATTTTGTTCTTTTTTATGGCTGACTACTATTCCATTTATACCACATTTTCTTTATCCGTAGGTTGTTTCCATATTTTGGCTATTATAAGTAATGCTGCAGTGAACATGGGGGTGCATATATCATCTTGAGTTAGTGTTTTTGTTTTCTTTGGATAAATACCCAGAGGTAGAATTGCTGGATCATATGGTCATTCTATTTTTAATTTTTTGAGGAAACTGCATACTGTTTTCCATAGTGGCTGCACCAATTTACATCCCCACCAGCAGTGCACAGGGTTCCCTTTTCTCCACATTCTCACCAATACTTATTTCTTGTCTTTCTGGTAATAGGCATTCTAACAGTGTGAGGTGAAATCTCATTGTGATTTTGATTTGCATTTCCCTGAAGATTAGTGATGTTGAGCATCTTTTCGTGTACCCGTCTGTATGTCTTCTTTGAAAAAATATCTATTCAGATCTCTGCCCATTTTTTAATTGGATTGTTTGGGGGGTTTTTCTGTGTGTGAGGAAGATCAGCCGTGAGCTAACATCCATTGCCAATCTTCCTCTTTTTGCTGAGGAAGATTGGCCCTGGGCTAACATCTGTGCCCATCTTCTTCTACTTTATGTGAGACGCCACCACAGCATGGCTTGACAAGCAGTGTGTCGGTCTGCACCCGGGATCTGAACATGCAAACCCTGGGCCGCCGAAGCAGAGCACACGAACTTAACTGCTATGCCACCGGGCTGGCCCTGGATTGTTTGGGTTTTTTGCTATTGAGTTGTTTTAATGTATTTTGGATATTAACCCCTCATCAAATATATGATTTGCAGATATTTTCTCACATTAAATAGGTTGCCTTTTCATTTTGTTGAAACAGTTAAACATTTGTTTCATGTTTGGCCGCTGTGCTTTGGTTTTTTTCTGTGAAGTACCCATTGAAGTTTTTTGCTCATTTTCCTGCTAGGTTGTTTGTCTTTTTCTTACTATTTGTAAGAGTTTTTTATATGTTCTGGATACTAATCTTTTGTAGGTTATATGAGTTGCAAATATTATCTTACGATTTGGGGCTTTTTTTCCACTTTCTATCTTTTGGTAAACAGCAATTCTTAGTTTTAATAGAGTCTAAGTTATTGATCTTCCTTCATGGTTTCTGTTTTGTTTAAGAAATTTTTTCCTACTTCAAGCTCCCTTCCAATCACTACCTTCACCCATCTCCCCAGAAGTATCCACTATTTTGATTTCTAAATCTATATATTAGTCTTGCCTTGATTTTCATCATCATTTAAGGAATCGTGTAGTATTATTCTTTTCATTCTAGTTTGTTTAGTTCAGCTTTATGTTTGTTATGATTCATTCATGTTTTTTATTGCATATTGCAATAGTTCATTTTCATTGCTCTGTGATATTCATTTGGATGACTGTAATAACAATCTGTTTATCCAGTTTATTGTTGAAGAATATTTGGATTATTTCCAGGTTGGGGCTATTAAGAATAATTCAATGATGAACATTCTTCTACACATCTTTTAGTATAGGTGTGCATTGCTTCCAGATGGTAGTGTTGTGTCATAGGATATACTTAGGTTCAGCTTTCATAAATACTGCCAAACAGTTGCCCATGGTGGTTTCCAATTTACACTACTATCAGTATAAATGCCTTTTGGGGTTCATAGTGCTTTTTGAATTTATGGCTTGATGACTTTGATCAGTTTGGGAACATTTGGCCATTATCTCTTCAGCTATTGCTTCTGTCCCTTTCTCTCTCATTTGGGACTCCAAGGGCACCTATGTTAATTCTTTTAACCGTGTCTCATATATCTCATACATTCTCTGCTGCATTTTCCATCTTTTTATCTCTACATACTTAGCTCTAAATGTTTTCTTTTGACCTATCTTCCATTTCAGTAATTCTCTCTTACATTGTCTCTAATCTGCTGTCAAATCATTCAATAAGTCCTTAATTTCATTTATTGTGTTTTTTCAGATCCAGAATTTTCATTTGGCTATTTTATATTTTCCACTTCTCTGCCAGGATTCTCTGTCTTGTCATTTAATTTCTTTAACATATTAATCATAGTTCTTTTAAAATTCATATCTGATATTCTGTTACCTGGATCTATTATGGTTTGACCTTTTTTTCCCTCTTGGTTTGAGGAATTTTGTCTTTTTTGTATGCTTGGTTGTTTTTTATTTAGTCTTGAACAATGTGTATGAAAAATTATAGTTATTACATCATCCAGAGCCTTAAATTATCTTTCTTTGCTTTTGGCAGGCAGTTAGGCTAAGGGCAGACCATCTTTAATCCAATCAAGGATTGAACTGACTCAAAGCTAGTCTTCAGTCCTTGTGAGGGCCAGTATATTTTGGGTTCTCCTGATTCCTAGGGTATAGCCCTTTGAGGTTACAGCCAAAAGCCTAAGTGTTTTCCACAACCCTCCTCCTAGTCTTATGAGACTGCCGAAAGCTCTTCTCAGCTTCTCAGACTCTCAGGAGCAGCTTTCAAATTAGCAATTATCTCAAGGGGGAAAATGTCACCAAATGTCAATCTTACCTCCTTGGATTTCCTTTCTTTCCATGCTTTCGGCTCCACAAATCCTTGTTGCCTGAGTAGCTCTTCAGTGCTTTCAAATCAATGTTCTCAGTGTTGTATTCAGTTTTCCCAGTTGTGCTTAGCAGGAGGTCTGGTTTAAAACAATCTAATCTACCATTGCTTTAAGCTTGGCTTATTCTTTCAAAAACTGAGCTTATACTAGGTGAAATAAGCCAGTCACAAGAAGACAAATACTATATGATTTCACTTATATGTGATATTTAAGTAGATTCACAGAAACAGAAAGTAGAATGGTGGCTACCAGGGGCTTTAAGTCCATACTTTACATTACGGTTCACTCTTGGTTGTTATGTGTTCTTTACCACTATATATATATATATATATATATATATATTTTTTTTTTTTTTTTTTTTTAAATGAGCTTGTCAGGTAGCTTTCTTTTCAGCCACATTGGTTTCTTTAGCTAGATCCAGTTAGAAAACAGGATATGTACTACAAATCAGAAATTCAGTGAAGTAGCATTATATGCATGTTTAACACAGATTTAACTCTATATGTTTAGGCAAAAAAAAGAAAAAAATAAGAATGAGGAAGAAAAATAGCTATATAAATAATGGAGAAGCAAAGTAGCAATTGAAATAGTAGAAAGAGTTCTCAATTAGCTGATACCCCAGAGTGAACAGTAGAAGAGAGCTCTGAGTTTGCTGTTCCTTCACCTGACTATGTTGAATTTAGTAGAAATAATTCCTTCCTGAGGAATTTTCAGGGGTAATTTTGATTTTATACAGTCTTGTTTTACCGGCGGACCTTAGAACCCAACCTCCTTTTAAGCTTTAGCCCCAGTGTAAAGAAAAATAAATAATATCCCTTTTATTTCTCATTGGCATTACAGTCTAAATTTATTTCTTACACATTTTCTGTCTTTCATGGATGATAATACCTTTTAAAGTCTTTGACCTTTATGACAAACCTATCTTTTCTGTGTTCTTTTTGAACATGCATACTATATCTAGCATTGCTTTCCTTCCATATAACATAATCCAAGATGCGTAGTCACTTTCAAAGTTGCCATCTTATATCATCAAATATTCAGAAATAAATCCAGAGTATCAGTACATCTCCCTGATTATAACTACATCTTGCTTCTCTTTCAGTCTTATAATACATGTTAGGACAATGTTACCAGTGTTTTTTGTCTGGTAAGATGGTTTTTACTGTATTTATCTAACAGTATCCTATACGCCTACTTGTATTCCTAACCCTTCTAAAGTTACTGACAAGCAGTAAATTAGAAATAGCAAGTAGCAGGTTAAGGGGTAGAGGAGGGGGGTTTTACCTTCCTGTAAGAACAAATCACATCTCTAAGAAATTAAAAACAATTGAAATGGTCTCTTTAATATCCTAATCTGTGCTGTTTCATGATTAGAACAAAACAGCTCAAAAGTTTGAAAACCACAGAATTCAATATACGAGTACAGTTATTACCTGTAGCTTATATAGCTTTATATAGATGTAGCTTATATATATCGTCAAGGGCCTTTGCAGTTTGAGAGGGATACTGGAGCAAGTGTATGTTCTTATAAAGGATACAGGGTGTGGCTCACTATTTCATGGAGTAAAATATGAATGCTACCAAGTAATAAGAATTATCATTTGACACTTAAAAGTAGAGAGAACTACACTCAGGTCAATATGTGATACTTGGCCAGATGGATAATCTTGTAACTGACTTCTGGAACCCCAAGTCACATGCCTGGCTTTGAAGAATAGTGTGAGATAGTATCTAAGAAACAGCATCAGCATGTTTTAAGCTAATCATGTCAGAGAGGAAACTTAATTTCATTATGTCTCCACTTAGTGTTAAAATAGCATTTTTTTAGTATGCCTTTTGTTGAAAGAACCATGCTAGATTCTCCGCTAGTGTAGTTGCTAAATAGTTAAGGGTTGTCTTAGTTTTCTGCCTACACTAGCTTGACTTAGCATTCTTTGCCCCCTCTACCTAACTAATGCTACTCTTTGCTGTCCAAGACTTATCCCTGACACCTCTCCGTCCTCACTGAAACTTATTTGTGTGTTATTACCTATTCTTCCTTGGTGGCCTCTCTGCATTCTAAAGTGTCTACTCAGGGGCCGGCCCGGTGGCGCAAGCGGTTAAGTGCACGAGCTTCGCTGTGGCAGCCTGAGGTTCGCCGGTTCGGATCCCAGGTGTGCACCGATGCACTGCTTGGCAAGCCATGCTGTGGCAGTGTCCCATATAAAGTGGAGGAAGATGGGCACGAATGTTAGCCCAGGGCCACTTTTCCTCAACAAAAAAAGAGGAGGATTGGCAGATGTTAGCACAGGGCTGATTTTCCTCACAAAAATTAAATAAATAAAGTGTCTACTCAGAAATTCTTTTTAAAATTAGTCTGAGCTGGCAGTGGAAGAAGGCAGCCGTGCGACAACGTGCTTCTTTAACAGTGGCTGTCTAGCAACATATTTCTTCTGCCCTTCTACCCTTCTCCCTCCCAACTTCTAAAAATTCTATTAATGATTTCAGCAATAGGAATTATAGGTTAGAAAGGTAGGAAGGTGATAAGGGAATTTGGGGGGAAGGATGATGTCCTTGAAGCATCTCTCATGATATCTTAATGATGGTGAACTAGCCAACTATGGTGAACTAGTGGAGTCTTTGTGAATGTAGGAAGTAAGGAACCTGAATGTTGATGGAACATAGTTTTTCAGAGCTGATGCTAAAAGCAGTAAGTTTTTCTTTCTAATATGACATCATTTCCCTTATAATGTAGGTGTTTATCCATCAGTGTTGGAACTACTGCTCTTTTGCACAAACCATGACAAATACTTTGTACTGCACCATCTTGCTGTTATGTTTACTTTGTCTTAAATATATCTTTTTTTTTTTCTAGGCTGCCAGTACACCTCTGAATCCTTTAAGTTTTCAGTGTGAATTTGTAAAACTCAGGATTGACCTTCTGCAAGCCTTCTCTCAACTTATCTGTACTTGTAATAGCCTAAAGACAAGCCCCCCACCTGCGATTGCCACCACAATTGCCATGACCTTAGGGAATGACCTTCAGAGATGTGGTCGCATTTCCAATCAGGCATGTCTTAACTTTATTTTCAACATAGTTTTTATTTACACTTTAGAGGTTTTTGAGGTTAGTTGTGAGATGAAAAACTCTGAAATTTAAAAGATCAGTGGTTTGACTCACAGCCTTTAAACGTCAAATGCTTTTTAACTCAGCCATCTAGCCAAAAATAGGCTGATGTCTTATTAGAACGGCAAAGTGATTGATGATGTCTCACTAATTGCTACATATTTATGTAGAGAGAAAAGACGTACATTTGAAAGAAACTGGGATGTTTATAACTATATTATTTTAGTGGAACTTAAGCTAAAACTGCAATGTTTTTTGTTTCTATACATCATATATAAATTATAATCTTGTGCACATTTGTAGTTTCATTTACCATCTATGTTAATTTTATTTAACAAGGTTTATAAAAATGAATGGAATGAAAATGAAAAAGAATTGAAATATTTTTTGGATTTTTTTATTGTTTGAGGATAGATTTTTTATGTTTTGGGTTTTGTGTTGTTTATACAATAATGATAGCATGTTTGTTTATCATAATTGGTATTTTTCTTCTTTATAGATGAAACAGTCCATGGAAGAATTCCGAAGCCTTGCTTCCCGATATGGGGATCTTTATCAGGCATCTTTTGATGCTGATTCAGCAACTTTGAGGAATGTAGAACTGTATCCTAAGCCTGCCCCAATATTTCTTGTTCTTTAAAAGTACTCTTTTAAATGTAGAGTAAATACTTCAGATATGCTTAACTAAAAAGTACATATTAGATAAGCCTACTAATACTATAATTAATAATTTCTCCTTTGAAATCTAGTATGAGCAGTATAATTTTACTTTTTAACTTCAACCAGGCTTTTAAAAAACTTTGGTGACTCAATGGTGGTCTTTCTCTACCTCTAGGAAGAGCATCCAAAACCCAGGTCCTACCAGTGTTGCATACTTTGTGTGCACTTGAGCTACAGTGAACAACACAAAACATTTTCCCACCAGAGAACCATTTTCTGTTTTGCCTCACCTTTCTTTTCTTTGTAGCTAACAACCCTAATCCCCATCACGTATATTAATGATCTATTCCGTAGTTTCAGTTGTCACTTTTGCTCCCTAAGCCCTCTTTAAGTTCTCCATATTTCCTTAACTAGCAGCCTCAAATCATTTTTGAAAGGAGGGAAGAGATAAATTGTTTTTAATTTGTAGGACCTATAAATCAGTACTTCTTAGCATTTTGATTTACTGATTGAAAAGTAATGAATGCTCTGGACCCAATGAATGCTCTGGACCCTATCCCCTACAAAATGCATATATACACATACCCCCAAAAATTTGTATAGTTTCAGGATGGTAAACAGACCTCTTTGGCCCCAGCCAAGTAACCTCTGGGGTAACCACTCTACAGACTATTGCTGTTGTCGTCATCATTGTTTTTAACTTTTATCAGTGAAACCCCTATATCTGAGACACATAAAAACAGTTTCTTTGATTGAACCACAGGGCCTGTTGCTTGGTTGCCCCTTCCCACATTAGGCAGCCTCTGAAGTACCCTTCCTGGAACAGAATTGAGAATCACTATTAGAGACAACATATATCCCTTAAAAGATAGAAATAGAACCCTAGACTATTTGAGTTGATAACATATAATTACCTTCACTAAAAATACGATCCTCATCTTGACATTTAATATTCGGATAATATAGAGCTGATAGTAGAGTTGTCTATTTTCATTTGTAACCTTAACATTAATCCAGACAGCAGCAGAGCTGTTTACTGATATCTCACACAATAGAAGCCCTCATTTTGGATCCAGAATCAGCAAGGTATTTAAACAGTTTACATTACAGAATACTTTCAAATATGTAATCTTACCTAATCATCACAGCAGTGTTTTGGAAGAGGTATTATAAAAGAAGACACAAAGAGGAAGAGCTTCTCCAGCATTTGCTTAGGGTCACATAGCTAGTGAGAAAACCTTGATTTTCTGACTCCATTGTTTACTTACCTCCTGCCTTCTGTTTTTAAAACATTGACTTGGAAAAATAACTGAGAAGAAATTCTTTTGAGTTTGAAGATTTTCTTCTTATACACTATAACTAACCTTTGGTGTGAAAAATTGAGTTATTAATATAATTAAGCTTGAACTTGAAATTTTTATTCTTTGCTTTCCCAAACAAAAGATATTCTTGTTTTTGCTTTATTAAAATTCTAAATTATTTAAAATATTTTTATTAAAGAATGATCCATTGTTTTTTCCCATTATAGTATTCTGTTTGGGAATATGCATTTGCAACTGGGCATTTCAACTATAATTCCCAATCTAGTAAGGCCTGTGATTCCAAGGTCAGTTTCCTCAGAGAGAATATAATCAACAAAGCATTTAGTTTTCTCTATCCTAAAGTATTGACCCACCACTCCTTTTCAGGGCGATACCAAGATCCTTGCCTTCTGTTTTAAAGTGTTACCTATGCTCAGACTAGGCCACATGGCTATTTTTTCCCCACTCATCTCATCCGTTTTAATATTTTTATGACATACTTATTTTTCCATTTATCCCTTTCTCATCTATATTCATTTTCCCCACAGACTTGCAGTGTTTTTTTTTCAACTCCTCGCTTGTAAATTTCAAAATGTTCTTAAACTTCCATATTTTTCACAGTCTTTGCCAATTAATTGATACTTCCAGGCGAACGCCATTTCTGATTGTGCCATACTCAGTTTTACCTCTTAGCACACAAATGTCATTGTACTGTTGGTTGACACAAGAGAAATTAGTATTTTTCATGATTGACTTTTTAAGAGAGATAGGCACATTGTCAGCAGGGGTGGGGTGAAGGGAGTTATCTAGCCAGCTTACACATGCTACTCTGTCTCTCACCTTCTCCCCTTTCCACCACCTTTCTTCACTCTTCTCCATCACCTTTCATACCCCAAACCCATTCCCTTAGCCTTTGCCCTTCTTAGCAATGAAAAATTGGAAAAGACAGCTTGTACCTTGAAGAAGAGTTCTCTGGATTTCATTTGTAATAGTGTACAACTGCAAGGAGTAGATTCCTTATAAAACTTATGTTCTTGATGTTATACATTTTGTGCCTTTCAAGTAAAGAAGGATGTACTTCTAAAAAGAACCTCAAGAGAATGAGGATGACATTGATATCTCACTGTAGTTTTTACAAAAATCTGTGTATCTCCTTCATAGCCCAGCAGGTTTTTGGAGAGAAGACATCTATTCAACTTTATATCTCTAGCAACTAATACAGTTACACTGTATTAGTTATAATATACTGTATATAGTTATAATATACTGTATATAGTTATAATATACTGGCCTGAGCCAGTATTAATAAATGTGGGATAGGATGGGGTAGATGTTTATAATTATGAATGTTATTATCTACCTAATACCAACTTTTCAGGATTATCAAGAAAAAATACTTTGATATGCTTGTCCATTATATTTTATCTATTCTAGTTTCTTCTTCACTCTGTTGTGATTTGTTTGCACTTAACCTTTATTTCTACTGCCTAAAAAATAAGGGAATGGCTTCTGGCCTTGAAGGCATTCTAGTACAGGACTTTTCCTACTACTGTAAACAGCTAGAAACCTGGATAAACATAAATTTAAATATAAGTTTAACTGTTTTCAGACACTGAACAGTAGGCAGCTCAGGAATGTAACCCCTCAGAGAAGGGACACAAATAAGGTAAACCCTATAATAGTCCTTGCTTTCCTCTACCTGAAGGCACATTTTAGACTGCCTCTTCGGGAGGAGTAACCAAAGCAGAATGTGGTGGTTTTGCTTAGTTGAAGAGAGAGAGATCAGGGTTCAGAGAACCAGAGGAAGCTAGAATTTGTAGGGCTGAGTACAGGAGAGGGGGAAGCTTTCAGAGAAAGAGCTCTAGAAATCTGCATAGGCTGTGAGTCTTTGGCTGAATGCTAAGCTGTACATAGTGTATGGTGAAACCCCGCAAGGCTTGGCAAAAAACAGTTAGTAGGGAAAGAGTAATTACCAGGAAGCTGGAAGCTGAACAATTCCCAGAGCTCATGCAGGGCTGAGAAATGTTTGAATTCCAACCAGCCATACTGTAGAGACCTTGTTGAATACCTAGGGCATTCAGAAGAGTCATACCAACTTAGTTGTAGGGCTAAACTAGCCCTAATGTAAAGACTACTCTAGACCTGTCCTAACAAAGCTTAAATAATCCTTGAAAGATTTAGGTTTATGCACAAGCAACTTGACTGTCTACTAAAACAAAGTCTAATGTTCTTTAAAGACAACAAAATCCAAAAACTCAACAGTATAAGATCGACAATTATAGCAACCAATCAAAAATTACTAGACATGAGAAGAAGCAGGAAAATGTGACAAATGACCAGGAGAAAATTCAGTTAGAAACAAGACTCATAAATGACAGATGATATAATTAACAGACTCAGACTTTAAAACAGCTACAGTTAGTGTTTTCAAAAATTTAAAAGTAAAAGATAAAGATGTAAAAAGAACCAAATGGAACTTCTAGAGCTGAAAAATATAATATCTTGATTTTGCTTTTATTTTTGATGAATATGGAATTCAAGGGTGCTTAGGTTAGGCTTAACAGTAGATTAGATACTACAAAAGAAAAGATCAGTGAACTTGAAGACATAGCAATAGAAATTATCCAAATTGGACAGTGAAAGAAAAAAGGCTGTCAGGACCAGCCCCGTGGCATAGTGGTTAAGTTTGCACGTTCCGCTTCAGCGGCCCAAGGTTCATGGGTTCGGATCCTGGGCGTGGACATGCTCACTGCTCATAAAGCCATGCTAAGGCAGTGTCCCACGTGGAAGAGCCACAACTCTACAGCTATGATACACAACTATATATTGAGGCTTTGGGGGAAAAAGAGAGGAAGATTGGCAACAGATGTTAGCACAGGGCCAATTTTCCTTAAAAAAAAAAAGATCAAATTAAACTCAAAGTAATTAGAAGGAAAGAAATAATAAAGAGTGCTAATCAGTGAATTAGAAATAAACAGTAGAGAAAATCAGTGAAACCAGAAGCTGGTTCTTTGAAAAGATCAATAAAATTGATAAAACTAGCTTTTTGGGCTATCTTGAGCTATTTGAGCAAAAGAAAAAAAAAACACACACACACAAATTGCCAATATCAGAAATGAAATGAGCATTAATACAAATCTGATAGACATTAAAAGCATATTAAAGGAATAATAGCTTTGTGCCAATAAATGTGATAACTTAGGTGAACAGGAACAAATTTCAAATATTCTTCATGAGCATAGACATAAAAATCTTTAACAAAACATGTATAAATTGAATCCAGTAATATACAAAAGGATAATACATTAAGACCAAGTAGGGTTTATCCCAGAAATGCTAGGTTTAACGTGTGAAAACCAATTAGTGTAATTCACCATATTGCAGAATAAAGAAGAAAAACTAAAGTGGAGGACTTATTAAAGATTTCAAGACTTAGTATAAAGCTATAGTAATTAAGACAATTTGATTTTGGCCTGAGGGTTGAATGGAGAGTCCAAAATAGACACTCAAACGTGTGTGATGATCACTTGATTTTTGATAAAGATGCTAAGATAATGCAATGGGGGAAAGGATAGTCTTTTCAACAGATTGTGCTGGAACAACTAGTTATTATATAGGGGAGGAGAAAGAATCTTGACCTTATGTCACATCATACACAAAAATTAATTCCAAGTATATCATAGACCAAACCATAAAAAATAAAATTCCAAACTTTCTAGAAGACTACATTGGAGAAAATCTTCATGACCTTGAGGTCAGCAAAGGTTTCTTAGGGCACAAATAGCAGTTACCATAGGAGAAAAGTTTGCTGAATTGGATTTAAATTTTTAAAATTCTGCTCTTTGAAAGATGCCATTAAGAAAATGAAAAGACAGGTCACAGGAAGAAAATATTCTCAAACATGTTCTATCAAAGGACTTGTATTTAGAATATTAAGAAAACCATACAACTCAAGGTAACCCAATTTTTAAGAATTGACAAGAGATTTGGACACTTCAAAAAAGATATATTAATGTCCAGTAAGCACATGAAAAGGTGCTTAACATCTTTAGGCATCAGAGAAATGCAAATTAAAATCACAATGAGATATAGCTAACAACCACTAGAGTAGCTAAAATTAAAAAGACCTTCAATACCAAGTATTAGTGAGGATGTGCAGGAGCTTGAATTCATACATTGTTGAGAATGCAAAATGATTCAGCAACTTTGGAAAACTGTTTGGCAGTTTTTTAATAAAGTTAACCATACAGTTAGCATATGACCACCAATTCTGTTCTTACTTATTTACCCAAGAGAAATGAAAACCTCTTTCTACACAGACTTGTACATAAATTTTCATAGCAGCTTTATTTGTAATAACAAAAATTGGAAAGAGCCAAATGTCTCTCAACAGGCAAATGGATAAATAAATTGCACTATATCCATACAGTGGAATACTACTCAACAATAAAGAGGAATGACCTACTGATATATGCAAAACACATGAATGACCCTCAAAAACATTCTGCTGTGAAGGAAACCAGACACAAAATAGTACACATAGTATGACTGTTTATATGAAATACTAGGAAACATAAATCTCATTTATAGTGTTAGAAAGCAAATCTGTGGTTGCCTGGGGTGGAAAGTGGGGATTGAATAGGAAGAGGTATTTCAAATGGGTACATTTTTGTGATTTTTGTAACTTATCTCTCAACAAAGTTTATTTTTACAGTACATAAGGAAATACTCCTTTTGTAGAAGGTAGAGGAATGTATTCTCAATTTAGACCCTTTTATTAGCAGTTCACTTTGTAAAAGACTTGAACTTCTTTATGCTTTATTTGTGTGGTAGAGTTTTCCTTAAAGTCCATTATATAAATGAGGTTTAGTTCTTGTCTTAATGGAACTTAAGATAGAGTACAGAGCAGGGAAGAAAGCTTTGGAGCCAGGCAGATAGAAACACGAATCCCCTATGACTCACGCCTAGCTGTGTGAATATATGCATGTTATTTCATCTCACTAAGCCACATGTGCATTAACTATATGGAAATAATGATGCCTGTCTCTTAGAGTGGTTGTGGTGATTAAATTAAATAGCCTATATAAAGTACCCAGCTGAAGTGCCTTGCACGTAGTAGTATTAAAAGGATAATAAGGGAATAATAACAACAGTGTTATGCCCAACATAGTTAAATTACCTACAGTGCCTTTTCAAATAGCCCTCTTGAAGTTTAGTTAGAATGCAGGAGTTTTGCCTTCTTTTCTCACTTAGAAACGTTCAGAAATAATCTTTGAGTTTGAGGCAGTAGAGGAAAAAGAAAAAAATCTCAGTAAAATTCTTTCTAACATCTCTGTATACTAGCTCTCCCATGAACATTCCTGTGCATTTCATCTCCATGCTTTCGATTGATTCCATTTCTCCAGGCATGAATGCCCTTCATACTTTCCATCTTTCCAGATATTATCAATCCTACTTGTCTAGTGATTTGTTCAAGACTGACCTCTTCTAAGACATTCCTCAGCTCCCTCCATATTCTGATCTATTGTTTATATATCTTTACTGGTTATTTGGCACTTATCTGCTGACTTTGTTGGTAGGTGCCTTTTCAAATGTCATATGTCTCTTTCCCCTCATGGCAGGGACAAGGTTTAAACACTTTTATACTACCTAACAGGCAAAGTGATTAAGTGAATAACTTGAAGTCATGTCTAGGTTTGAATTCCAGCTTGTCATTTACTAGTTATGTGTCTGAAGGCAAATTGCTTACCCTCTAGAAGCTTCAGTTTCCTCATCTGTAAAATGCAAATAACAGTGCCTACTTCATTATTTTAAAGATTGAATGGAATGTGTAGAAAGTATTTAGACATTAAAATAGTGCCTATTTTGGTTGATTAATTGATATTGATTTTAACTTCAGTTTCCAGGAATATGGATCTACTGGAGCAGCCCATGCTGATAGTGAATATGAGAGAAGAATGATGTCTGTATATAATCATGTCTTGGAGGAGGTGGAATCACTCAATCGGAAATATACCCCTGTTTCTTATATGGCAAGTGGCATTTGTTCTGTTGAGTTTTTATTATGTGGAAGTGGATTTTTATCTATCTCTGGTCCTTACTAACTGTGTAACTCCAACAAATTACTGTGCCTGTTTCCTCTGTGCCTGTTTGTAACAGGGCTAATATAGTACCTACCTGGTAGCATTGTTGTGAGGATGAAATGAGATAATCCGTGAAAGCACTTAGCACATCCATAGCTGCAACATAGTCGCATTAACATGTCAAATCTGCTCTACCGTGATGCAAATAAAATTTTTTTTTCTTTTTTAACAATTTAGCTCAAGTCGCAATAGTTCTCAACCCTGGCTACATATTAGAATCACTTAGGGAGATTTAAAAAAATACAGTGGTCCCGCTTTGTCCACAGGGGATACGTTCCAGGACTCCCAGTGGATTCCTGAAACTGCGGATAGTTCTGAACCCTATATACACTGTGTTTTTTCCTATACATACACACCTATGATACAGTTTAATTTATGAATTAGGCAGGTTAACAACAATAACTAATAAGAAAATAGAACAGTTATAACAATGTGCTATAGTAAAAGTTACCATAGATCTTAGCAACTTCAGCATACGATTTTTTTCTTTCTTATTAAGTCAAGAACTTTCACCTTTTCACTTAAAGGAAGCACTTCACAGCTTCTCTTTGGTATATCCGAATTGCCAGCATCACTACTCTTGTGCTTTGGGGCCATCATTAAGTAAAATAAGGGTTACTTCAACACGAGCACTGTGATCTTGTGATCTGATAACGAACACGGCTACTAAGTGATTAATGGGCAGGTAGTGTATACAGCATGGATACACTGGACAAAGGGATGATTCACGTACCGGGCAAGACAGAGTGGGATGGCTGGAGATTTCATCAGAACAACATGCAATTTAAAACTTATGAATTGTTTATTTCTGGAGTTTTCCCATTTAATATTTTTGGACTGTGATTGATCATGGTTAACCAAAACCACGGAAAGAGAAACCATGGGTAAGTGGGCACTACTGTACATCAATATCCAGGGGCCTCCCCAGACCAATTAACTCTGAATCTCTGCAGCTGAGGGCTAAGCATTAGTATTTTTAAAAGCTCCCAGGTGATTCTGTCATGCCACCAAGGTTGAGAACCACCGGCCAATTGAAACAGGAAGAACCGGGCTTGTTTTCTGACAGGTGATGCCATTGATGTCTTTTGGTATACTTGTCCACCATTAGCCTGCTGAATCTCTGCTGCCTTTGGCACTCTTGAGCACTCACTCTGTCAAGTCTTCTCCCCTGACTTCCCAGTCTGACAGACAGACACACTCTCACCCAGATTTTTCCCTCCCTGTCTCGCCATTTCCCAGTGTCTTAGTCACCTTGGGCTCCTATAACAAAATATCATAGACTGGTTGGCTTAAACAACAGACATTTATTTCTCATAGTTCTGGAGGCTGGAAAGTCCAGGATCAAGGTACCAGCCAATTTGGTTCCTGGGGAGGACCCTCTTGCTAGCTTGCAGATGGCTGCCTTCTCACTGTCTCTCTGGTGAGAAGCTCTGGTCTCTCTTCCTCTTCTTATAAGGACACTAATCCCGTCATGGGGGTGCCATCCTCATGACTTCATACCTCATCTAAACCTAATGACCTCCAAAAGGTCCCACTTCCATATACCAACACATTGGGAGTTGGGGCTTCAACGTATGAATTTAGGGAGGACACACACATTCAGTCCATAACACCTAGTCTTTGAACTTGACACCTTGGAGAGTTTCTCTTGCCCTGCCCTCACATTAGATGCTGGTATTTCCTGTAGCTCTCTTCTGGCTTCTGCTGTTCTCATTCTGTACACACGTGTTCATCAAGTGTTTTAGAAGAAATTGGCAGGCTGTGTCATTAAAGAATTAGATGAGATTTTAAGGACAGATAGTTTCCTTGACATACTGCTTTCTACATGAGATCCTCAATACACATTTGCTGAATTGAATTGACACAGGTAGCTGTTTGACACTGCCTTTGGTTGCTAAGGGAGATTGTAAAGATTATCTTTCAAGGAAATACATCTGTGTGAGACATTGATTAAGTTATTTCCGCATCCCTCTAAGCTCCACCCTAAGAAATTAAATAGATGCCAAACAGTAACTCACGTTTGATGGAGTTGAATCCACTGAATATAGTGGAGAGAATGGGAAATTTCAGTCCAGTAGGAGACACAGTACAGAGAAAAGAGCCCTAGGTTCAAATACTGCCCCTGCCACTCAGCAGGTGTGTGATTTTTAGACAGATTACGTAACATCCTTTTCTTTTCTTTTCTTTTTTTTTTTTTTTTGCGAAGATGATCAGCCCTGAGCTAACATCCGTTGCCAATCCTCCTCTTTTTGCTGAGGAAGATTGCCCCTGGGCTAACATCCGTGCCCATCTTCCTCTACTTTATATGGGATGCTGCCACAGCATAGCTTGACATGCAGTGCGTTGGTGCATGCCCAGGATCCGAATCCGCGAACCCCAGGTTGCCGAAGCGTGGCACGCATACTTAACCGCGTGCGCCACCCGGCCAGCCCCCTTAACGTCCTTTTCTATGATATGGGAAAAATATCTACCTCATAAGGTTACTGAGAAGTTTAAATGAAATAATGCCTGTTGGCTAGCACAGTGCCTGGCCTGGCACATATGGAGTGGTTAATGTTAATTCCCTTTTTCTCCCTTTCCAAATTGTATTTCATAGATTTGATATTTTCTGAGCTCTGGAAATTCAGTGCAGCAAGTATTTATTGGATCCTAGGAATAGAAAAATGACAAAGACAGCGGATCTTCCCTCAAGTTGTCCGTATTCTGATAAGAAAGAAGGATTTTGTAAACAAACACAGTACGGTATATGTGCAGTAATAGAGCTCTGCACAGGGTAGGATGTAGCACAAAAGAGAAAGTAATTCATGTCGAAGGATAGGGAAAATGGAGTGAGGATGCAAATCAGAGAGATGTCTTTGCATATGAGTTTTCCAGGCAGGTAAGGAGGGGTAGGGAATTTCAGGCAGAGCAGAGAACAACGTGTTCGAAAGCAGAGGCGTGAAATAGCATGGTGTCTTCTGGGAACAGTTTGTTATTGCTGCAGCATAATGTACAGGCTAGGAACTGGAGAGATGAGACTGGATAGGCAGAGGCCTGACGACGAAAGGCTTTGAACACGGTGGTAAGCAGTTTGGACTTGATCCTGTAGGCACTAGAGAACTTTTTAGAATTTTAAACAGGTGGAGGAGAGGGCCGGCCCCGTGGCTTAGCGGTTAAGTGCACGCGCTCCGCTGCTGGCGGCCCGGGTTCGGATCCCGGGCGAGCACCGACACACCGCTTCTCCGGCCATGCTGAGGCCGCGTCCCACATACAGCAACTGGAATGGATGTGCAACTATGACATACAACTATCTACTGGGGCCTTGGGGGAAAAATAAATAAATAAAATCTTTAAACAGGTGGAGGAGAGAAGTGGTTAAGATTTTACACTATTTTATGTAGAAGCAGAGCAGGTGATGGCTTGGAGGGCATAAAATTAGAAGAAAGAGTAGTTACAGGCTTTTGCAGTAATCCAAGGTAAGGGCCAAATTAATATAATGGCTGAAAAGTATCTATTGGATTTGGCAGAGGAGAGAGTCGGGGTGATGCACTAGTCCTCCTGCTGGTTTTCTAACCATGATATGTGATTCCACATCTCCAGACTCTTACTTTAATAGCTGTCTGCTACTAACATACCTGTGGAGGTGTGCCCAGGGGCTAATGGCCTCAGAGGCAGTCCACACTTTCCCAGTGGGGAATTGTACAATCTGCATCCATTCTTTTAAAAAGGAGAATGGTGCTTTTTTGCCCAGGAAACAGCCTGAGGTCGCTTGGAGTCCTCTAAGTGCGTCCTTTAAGGATGGTTCTCTCCTTAAATACTACTGTGGCATCAGAGGTTCCATCACAAGTAGGATGTTCCTGCAGATGCTTCCCAGATTGCTTGCTGCAGGAAGATGAATAATGCTGTTTTGACAGTTAAATCTGAAGGAATAGAACCAGTGTCTTTAAATCTGTGTGTGGTTATCTCAAGTAGTAGACCTGGCATTTTTATTATGGGCCTGTCAGGCGCAAAATGGTCAATAGCCTGAAAGCAATGAGGAGTGGATTCTTCTGCCCAACTTTTTAAAAACATTTACAGCATGGGCAACTAGGTGCACCCTGCTTGCAGGCAGGAGCTTAGGACAGACAGCATACTATATACTGCAGTGGTTTTCAACCTGTGGTGCTTTGGGGGCCTCTGAGGGGGGAGGAGACTGAGGAGGGGATTGTAGACCAAGCAGGATGGTTCTGGCTCACCCAAAGTTATAGATGTTCTGATGGTGCTTTAATGTATTTTTTCCTATTAAGTTTGCAAATAATTGGTGAAGTAGAACAAAATCAATGAAGTAAGGGTCACACAACCTAGGTTCTAGTCCTAGTTTGTTCCATCACCTGTCTGGGTGACCTTTGTCACCTGAGTGACCTTTAAAATATCTTTGATGGTCTCACAGGAGCATGCTTATCTCCAAGCTCATCAAGTTGTATACATTAAATATGTACAGCTTTTTGTATATCAGTCATACCTCAATAAAGTGGTTTAAAAAAAATAAAGGGGCCGGCCTGGTGGCGTAGTGGTTGGGTTCGCGCGTTCCACTTCTGACAGCCCGGGGTTCACAGGTTTGGATCCCAGGCACAGACTTACGCACTGCTTGTTAAGCCATGCTGTGGCAGGCGTCCCACATAAAGTAGAGGAAGATGGGCACGGATGTTAGCCCAGGGCCAGTCTTCCTCAGCAAAAAAGAAGAGGATAGGCAACAGGTGTTAGCTCAGGGCTAATCCTCCTCACAAGAAAAATAAATAAATAAAATAAAATATCTTTGAGCTCTTAAATTCTGATTCTATGATCCTTTCACTGAGACTCAAAGGATTCACTGTAGTGTTTCTATTTCTCTGCACTTATGCTGGGATTTTCAAAACTCAGTTAAATTTGTGAAATAGATTTTAGAAATAAGGTATTTTATTAAGGTTTGAGAATACCATAGAATTGGACCGTATAGTCATCCTTAATCTGAATTCCAGTGAGTTTCCACCATTGCTCACTCTCGGGGGACCCGTGGCCATAGGGACAAGGAAGCCACCTAGTGGAGAGGGATGAAAGAATGAGGCAGCTCGTAGCAGAGGTTCCACTTGGAATTTGGTGTCGGGCCCCAGACATTGATCTGCTGTTCTGGATTCTTTACCATACTCTTTATCATACTTTGCCATATGATAATTACTCTATAATTAGTATATAAGATAATTATATAATAATATTTCTAGTATCTCTAAGCTCTTTAGAAATGCAAATTTTGCATATTGCTTGGCCTTGAGGAATGTGAATTTTCTCTCTCCTGTCATTTACTTTTTATTGAATATTCAAAATAAAGTAAAGATCTGTAATTGTACTCCTTGACATGAAAGATTTGACAAATGTATGCAGTTCCTGGGTGTTAGACCTGTTTCCTGATTGGTGTGTACTTTTGTAATAATCACATGAGCATTTGTAGTTTTTAAACTTCTTCCTGAAAGTACCATTTGTTGATGAAATTTGGAAATTTATTTTCAATTGATTCAGTTTCTTTTTTTCCCTGCAGCATACAGCATGCCTCTGCAATGCCATAATTGCTTTGCTGAAAGTTCCTCTTTCATTTCAGAGATATTTTTTCCAGAAACTGCAGTCTACCAGCATCAAGGTAATATAGGAAGAATACTAAGGTTAATATAGATGAAAAACCCAGTTATCTTCTGAAGATTATGTGGTACATAGCTCTGCCTCAGGATCTCACCTTTGGTTTTGATAAAACTTATACCCTTTAGTTGTAAGTTTTTCCTCCCTTCATCAGGTGGTATGGTGAAGGGAATGGGATTTGGGAGTTAAACCCCCTCCCTTCTTACCTGTCAGTGCCAAAGGCATTTGAGACAGGCCTGGAGCTCTGCCTCTTATCTCCAAGAATAAGTTGAGGGGTTTTCATCATAGTAGCATACAAGGGTTTCGAGCTGAGTCCATGTCCAATCAGCCTATTCAGGCCCAACTAAGAATGAAGCAGGTCTAGCAAAACATCACCAATCCTACCTCCAAAGCACTTTTCTCTTGAATAACAAGTTTTGAGGAGCTGGCCAGTGAATAGAGTTAGTGTTTTAAAATATTTAAGCCACTCAAAATTCAAAAGCTATTTTCATTTCAAAGAATGGAATTGTTGGGAAAAGGGGAAAATTGTGAGATTTCCTGGATTATCCCTGTCAGTAAATGTCTTCAATGCACTTTTGATCCATTCAAATGCTTTTGATTGCAAATAATAGAATATTACATTTCAAAATGACCTGAATCATAAGGAAAATTGATTATCTAGATGAGAAGTCTTAAGGAAGGATGTCCCCAGGGTTGATTAGTTCAGTGACCCAACAGCATTATCAAAAAGACCCAATTCATCCATCTTTTCATTTAGCAAGACTTCAGCTTTCTGTAATTGAAGTGTATTTGGGATTTGAAATATGTTTTTAAAGAACAACTACTTTAATCAGAGGTTAAAAATGTGATTTGGTGCATTTCTGGAAATGACTTTTATACCATGATAACTTGACTGTGTATGTAATCCTAGAATTTTAAGTTCATTTTTATTTGTTTTTGTCTATTTAAAATTACCTGAGACCAGAGAAATAGCTGGACATGAAAATTTACGTAGTGCATTTCCCTACTGAAATTGGTTCATTGTCAAAGAAATGCCCCACCACAGAAATTGAAAGAACAGTGCCTTCTCTATTCTCTAATCCTCTGTTACCCTCAAATAGAAGTGGGATTTGGAGTAAAAAACACAGTGGTATTTAAAAGGAGGCATTAAGGATAAGGAACCCTTGACTTGAAGGGTACAGCTATCTGGTTATCCCAGCACAGTCAGATCATTAGGTGTGTGCGTGTGTGTCTGTATAACATGTTAACCTGTAACCAGTGATGAGCACAGACATGTTTTTTGGAAGGAAGCTTGTTCTTGGTTGTTAGCATTTATTTTAACGTTGGTATTCCAGCTTGCTCTGTCACCATCCCCCCGGAACCCTGCAGAGCCCATCGCTGTCCAGAATAACCAGCAGCTGGCGCTGAAGGTAGAGGGAGTCGTTCAGCATGGATCTAAACCAGGACTCTTTCGCAAAATTCAGTCTGTCTGTCTGAATGTTTCTTCCACTCTACAGAGTAAATCCGGACAAGACTACAAGGTAATTGAGAAAAGAGGCAGAATGGCCGTGCAAATTTTAGCAACTCATTGCTGAAGTTTTCTAGTTCTTCACAGTTACGCAGATTGCAGTTATACTTCCCAAGGGATCAGATGGACATAAGTTAAAAGCACATGTTGGAGTTTGAGGGGGCTGATAAACAACGCTTCTCTCTTCCCTGCCTGAGCCGGTTGATAGACAAAGCTTGCAGGCAGACAGAGATCACAATATGAGTGTTATTACTGTTAGAGCTGCGGGCACACCTAGCCCAGGTGCCTGGCAGCAAGGACTTGTACCTCTGAATGGAACTTGCCCACCCACTCTCAGCCAGTACACATAAGAGCCTGTCCCCGCAACGCTGATGGTAGGGAGGAGCACCCTCATGCCCAGAGAAGAAGGGAAAGAGAAGGTGCTTAGCTCCCCATGCCCAGTTCCCACCCGAAACTTACCATTCGGTAGGATTCACTTCCTCCCCTGGAGACCAGCACTGTTCATCTAATGAAAGGTCCCTCCACTTGGGGGGAAACATCAGGAGTGGGGAATGTCTCCCTAACACCCCTGCCCCGCCAAAGCACACATCTATTTATTTTTCTCTATTTTAAGTAAATTTTAACAAATTCAAAAAAAGAAAAGTATATAGCATTGACATACAATGGTCAGGTAAAGTAAAATCATTCCTGAAGGGAATAATTTCAGGGAATAAACCTAGAATGTGCTGCTTTGAGAAATCATGAGGTAGGTTAACCAAAATCATGTTTACTTTGTTAGCCAAAGCCAAGCTTCTGAATGTGTGCCCATGAGATACTGATGTTCCACAAGTAGAATGTGCCTTTCTTTAGGCATCTCTTTACAGTTCCTTGGTTTATTCTCAGTGAATGGAGCAAGGAAACAAGTACACAGCTGTATACAAAGAGTTGTTCAAATGCCCAAATTGGTTGTGTGCAGGTTTATTGTGGGCATACTTAAACTGAGGTCCTTAGCAAGGAAAGGAGTATCAGATATAAAAACAGAGCATTTTATTCTCTGGTGGTTTTAGGCCAAAAAGCCAAGGGAAGGTCTGGTTTAAGCCATCATTACTTTCTTTTCTTTGGTAACTTACTCTCTCTGGCACTCTGCCCACTCTCTGATAAAGCTTAGCCTTCATTCTCTTCTCTTCCTCTCTTTTACTGCCATAACACAAAGCACGGTGCCTTATGTAGCCACTCAGTAAATATTTGGTGAGTGATGGGAAAAAAAATCATTTACTGTATTTAAAGTAGAGCTATTATGTTTGGATGATCTCTCTTGTTACAGAAGATTGTATTGAGAATTTACATAGTTAACTTATCCCTATCTGCAGTTCTCTCCTCACTCTGAGTATAAAAGAAGAGTAACCATAATTCTATTTGTTCCTTGTATGTAATGATTTCTACTGTTAAGAAAAAACCATTGTAACTGAGAAGTACTGGTCTTTTGCTTGTTGACTTTACCTCTCAAGAGGTATTAATTAGTCGGGAAGCTGACATAATAAGCCATGGAGTACATGATTTCTTTGTAATGTTACTTGCAGTGAGTTTGCAACTTAAAATGCATCATCCATTCAGAGTGATCAGATTCCCTAGGCCTATTTCTGGTCCTTTTAAGGAAGTTCTTGTTTGGTAGGCATATTCTTTAGGAAAATAAAAACCCTACAAAAGTTGAATGTGCAAACAAAAAACAAACAAGGACCTATAAATAATTCTAAGATCTTGAATTGGTTGGCGACTTCATTTCGTTAATGTCACAGATAAATGTTTGTGGAAAACTGACCTCATGTTAACTGCTTATTGCAACCCAAAGCTTTAGGGCACATTTATATAATTAATTATGCAACAGAAACTCACAGAAGCATAGAGCAATCTGGTCAACCATTCATTACAATTACCTTTATATTCATTCTCGGAATAAGTCTCTTGACATACTTCATCTTGGGTACCCGTAAGGGTACACTAACAGGTGTTTTTCTCTTCTTTGAAAGACAAAGGCACAGTGTCTGGCTAAATAAATGAACAAGCCCATAAATCTGTGATTTATGCCAGTCTGAACAAGGCACTGATTATTAAGTGAACAGTGTGCAAGTTCTAAAGTGAATTTGTTAAAAGAGGGAGGAATTACTGCATTACTTAAGTAATATAAAATCAGGCTAGCTAGGAGGAAAAAACCTAACTTATATTTACTTAGTATTGTTCTTTTTCAGTCTCTTAGATTGCAAACTCTCTGAAACAGGTGGTTGCATCCTGTTTCTTTGGCTTCTCTCCTCACAGACTAAAGAAAGAAGGAATTGGAGTTGAGGTGGTGTAAGCAAGTGTAGGGGAGGATAGTGTCTGTCCTACTCTCTTAGGGTCTCTAACTGAACCTAAGATTCAACTGAAATTAAGGCAGACTAACAGGAGAAAAGCATACAGGTTTTATTAGAATTTTACATGTGTATGAGAGTCTTCAGAAGAGAATGAAGACCTGACCAGAGCAGAAAGCTTATATACCTTTTAGACACAGAAATGGTAAATTTGTGACAAAATGACAAGATAAAGAGATTTGGGCTGGGGCACTAAATTGTGGGGCAGTGACTAGGAGATCTAGTGGGGCAGTGGGGGAGACTAATGGAAGGTAAGGGTTATTTTAGTAAGTTTGTTTGTACAGATCCATTTCAGCATCGATTCCCAGTCTCTAATGATAAGGATGTTTTTCTCTTCCTGGTACAGGAGGCTACCTTTCTCATGGAAAATTTTATGGCCTGTTTTAAGTAAAAAGGGGCAGTTCAGAGAGCCCTTTCTGCGTCTGTTGTTTCTCAGGTGCTTTTAGCTCAAAATAGTCAGTTTGCCAAAGCAGCATATTTTGGGCATATCTTGAACTCCTTCACAAGGAAGAAAGAGTGGCATATGAAGGGGTTGAGAAAGGCTCTGGGAGCTCATTCTGCTCAAGGATAGAGAGGAGGCAGTATCGCTTCATGATTAAGCCTTCCTGGGTTCTGATTCCAGCTCCACTACTCATTAGCCATGTGACCTTGCAGAAATTACTTAACCTCTCTGCTTCGGTTTCCTCGTCTGTAAAGCAAGGATAATAGTACCTACCTCTTGGTTGTTTGCAAGAATTAAATAAGCACTTAGAACAGGGCCTAGCTCGTAGTAAGCACTCAATAAATGTTAGTTATTGTTGTTATTTAACAATTCTTTCATTCCAGATACCCATTGACAATATGACCAATGAGATGGAGCAGAGGGTTGAACCTCATAATGATTACTTCAGTACTCAATTTCTGTTGAACTTTGCTATCCTTGGAACACACAACATTACAGTGGAATCTTCAGTGAAAGATGCCAATGGTATCGTATGGAAGACTGGTCCCAGAACTACCATATTTGTAAAATCCCTGGAAGACCCTTATTCCCAGCAAATTCGCCTACAACAGCAGCAAGCCCAGCAACCATTACAACAGCAGCAACAGCGAAATGCCTACACACGGTTTTAGCCGTGTGATGAATGCGCTACCGACTTTACAGGGATTGATCAAATTGGCAAAAATAATATGTTTTTTCATGTGGATTAAGACATGAAAGTTATAATGTGGAGTCCATTTGTTCCTTGGTTTCTATAATGTAATATTCTGGAAATTTTTTTTTAATTTAGTTTGAGAAATAATTGGGTTCCTAGCCAGAAAGATTTTTTTTCCTCGTCCTTTCTTTTTTTGTTTTTGTTTTTTTTTTTTTTTTTAGGAAGATCGGCCCTGAGCTAACATCCGTGCTAATCCTCCTCTTTTTGCTGAGGAAGACTGGCTCTGAGCTAACATCTTTTGCCAGTCCTCCTCCTTTTTCTCCCCAAAGCCCCAGTAGATAGTTGTATGTCATAGTTGCACATCCTTCTAGTTGCTGTATGTGGGACGCAGCCTCAGCATGGCCGGAGAAGCGGTGCGTCGGTGTGCGCCCGGGATCCGAACCCGGGCCACCAGTAGCGGAGTGTGCGCATTTAACCACTAAACCACGGGGCCGGCCCACCTCATCCCTTCTTAAACCAAGACTTTTATCTCATATTTAAAGTTTTTATTGTTTCTTTTTTTGTTGCTGAGCCTTTTTCTTTTAAGAAAAGTCACATATTGGGGTCACTGAATTAGTAAATTTGACTGCTTCTCTATCAAAATACATTACTTACTAGCTGGCAGAGACCTCTAATTCTGAGCCAGGCTTTGGAAAATTCTGACCTGGTAGGTGCAGGGTTTACCCATGGTAGTAGAAACTGAGTTCTCCCGTAGGTGGACCCGAAAGTGTTCCCTGAAACATCCAGTCTTCTGGATTATGAGAGCATGCCATCTAGCAGAATTAAAGTATTCTGCTGTATTATTTCAACTACTTACCTATCTCTTCTATGCTAAAGCAATCTTAATTTATTGTTTTAGTATTTAATTGACCCAAAGAGCAGCTACATAGAAAGATTGGAGATTAATAGTTTGTTTTGTCTAATATGTGTGTGATTGTGTATAATATACTTTTTATATTGTTTTTAAAAGTGAAAAAATCACTCACATTTAATATCTTATTAATGTTTTAAGTTGTGGGGGGCAGATCTTTTCCTTTAGTTTGGTTTCTTCTTGGCAAGTTATGTAATGTTAGACTTGATGGTCTAGATAAATAATCTCTTTATAACACAACCTCAATTAGTTGGGATGCTCAGGGAATAGAAGTTTTCTGGTTAGCCAGAAAACCCCTTTTTTTTCTATTTAAATACAGGTTGAAAACCATTATAAAATAGAATAATAATATACTTTCTTGTCTCAACACAGTATACTAGATATAATTTCACTGTTCTTTCTTAATTTGGGATCATTCAGTGCTTTGGGATCATGATTTCTAAACATCAGGGATCATAGGGTTGCAGGCATTGATGACGTGGGCAGTTGGGCTGGAAGCAGCTTGTGAGATGAAGCAGGGCACATTCCCTGGAAGTTTCCTTTTTAAATAAATCTCTCAATTTCTTTGCTTGTGCTTTGCCTTTTTCTCTTTAAAGTTGACATTGGCTCAAAGGAGGGACAGAGTTTAAGGAAATAAGGAGTTTTGTTTTTTTTTTTCTTGTCATGTGGCCTCTAGGGGTGAGAAGGGATTGAACTCAGGTCCCTCTAAGGTCACTTGGCGTCGTGAGCTGTTGTCCCCACACAACACATTCTATGGCCAACGGCCAGAGCATTGTCACAAAACGCGTGTAAATCTAGTGTTCACTGTGGATGACGTCCCTTTAAATGCGGCCCGGTTGTACCCAATGTACGATGTGCACAGTCATGAGAGCATCTGGGAACATAACCCTTAGGGAGAACTGCCGGAGTGGGGTGGAGGACGTGTGCAGGACCCTTGCCCTTTTACCAGGTGTAGAAAGAGCTGAATCAGAAAGCCCAGGTTCCGTTTCTCACTCTGATGAATTAGCTCTGTGACCTGGGACAAGTGCTTCATCTCTGTAGACTTTAGTTTCCTTGTCTGTAAAATGACTGAATTAGACTGAATCTCTTGACTCCAGGCTAGAGTTTTGTGATCAGGTGACTGAAAGACTAAAAACAAAAAAAGATTCTTAAATTGGGAAAAAAAATTTTTTTTTAATTAAGTTGCTGTTTTCAGAATGAAATTTTATATTGTCACTTTCAGGTTTCTGGTACTGTTTCAAGGCAGAATTCTCCAGAATTCTGGAGCAAATCTTGTAAGCCACCAATTCCTCTAATTCCCTTTGAGACCTTCGCAAATATTATGTTCTTAAAAGATATGCTTTTGATAGCTATAGCTCTGATTTGCTGTGCTGTAGGGCCCCTGGCACAAATTTGGAAAGGAATTATTAAAATAAAAACAAATACAAATAGTTCAGAGTATGAAAATTATAAAGCAAAAAAGGCTATTTTATTTCAGTATGTCCATTAGATCCAGGAGTGGAACTCTTTGATTTTGTGTTTGGTATAATATATACTGCATTTTTGACATCAACTGTTAAACAATTATTTGAATGGAGGGAAACTTTATAATTTTAACACTACATTAATGAGTGAAAAGAAAAAAAAACACTCAAGGAAAGATGCAGAAAGGAAAGATACACATACTGATTATGAATGAGCATGTTCCCTGATTTTAGAAATATGGATAAAGGGCACTGGCTGATTGATTCTAGGAAGACAGGACTAATTTTTCTCAGTGTTGAGTGACTCTGCAGTATAACCCGGTGGCTGTGAACCTCTGGAGCCACACTACCCGGGTCCGAATCCTCTCTCTACCTAACTTTGTAAGCTTGAATAAGCTGCTCCATCTCTCTATGCCACAGTTCCTAAAATCAGGAAGCATAATAGTGCTTCATGGGGTAGATGTGAGGATTAAGTGAGTTAACATAGAATTAATATATGTAAAGCACTTAGAACGTGCCTAGCATGTAGTAAGCAGATATATAATATTTTTACTGCTGTTATTATTATCCTCCCTAGTATTATTTTTCACAGTGTTAGATCAGTTCTTAATCTTAGCATTTTATTTATTCAAAATAAAAGTTACCTTTTCTCTGCTACTAAACACACATTTAAGCTATCTTCCCTCATATTCAATTTGGGTACATTGAGTAATAACAAAATAACTTCATGCTAACCTAAACAAAATGGAATTTATGTCTACTACAGTGCTGTAAATCCTATTTAATTAAAATATTTAAAGACAAATGTACAAAGAAAATTATGAAAATATTTTCTAAACCTACTGCTTGCCTTCAATGGTGATAGCAATAGTATATTGATTATTTAGAAATTAAAGGTTGTATTCCAGCTTAAACTAAGAGATCTTGTGAAATGACCTTTCTAGCTCAAACCAATCAAGATGGCAGGTAATTTGCATCTGGAGCCTGTAAGTCACTTGTCATGTTATTAGGTTCAGAGAAGAACAAACCAACCAAACAAGATCCTCAGACAGGGTTCCAGAGATGTCAGTTTAAGTTCTGTTTCTAAGACTCACTTGCCATGGATCCTTGGATAGATCACTTGATCTTTCTGTGCCAGTATCTGCCAGTGGTATATAGGGATAAGATGACCCTGGCACCTGGTATGTAGGGTATATGCAGCGCTGTGCAATAGAACTGTCTGTGATGATGGAAATGTTCTAAGTCTGCGTTATGCAATACAGCCACCAGCAACATCTAGCTACTGAGTATCTAAAATATGGCTAGTGTGATTGAATCTTATTTACTTTTAATTCAAATTGAAATAGGCTCAGGTGGCTACTGCCTAGAGAATTGGACAGTACAAGTGTGAGAAGTGAAGAAGTGAGATTCACTATTGCCGTAGGACCTAGATAACTCTTAAGTAGGTTTCTAGATAAGGGGTCTACGTTGGAATTCTTAGACACACCAAAAGTTTCTCATGGAAGAGTGTGTAGATGACAAGGAAGTTACTCGTTTGTGTGTTTGCTTTGCTCCTGGTAATATAATGCTGTGTTCCTCAACCAAACACCCACCCCTCTTCTTTCTATAATGCACCCTTAGATTTAGCCTTCATCAGTCACCAACATTAAAAGTATGGTGGGATGTACTGAGAAGTCCAAAATTCTGGTGAATTGGCTTAGATTTCTTACCAACAGCACTGCAGGAGGTTATGGTCTTCCTTTCCATTTCTTGCCCAAGAATGCAAAGACCTTTAACACATGGGTTGTGTATTTTATTGGCTCGACTAGAGCCAGTTCATTATCCTGTGTTATCTCCCAGTCTAAAGTACTCATTCTATGAGCAATTTAATTTTTATATATAATTGAGATTTAAACAGAACAAGTCATGTCTTTATCCTTAAATAACATACCAAGACCTGGAGCCATTAATTTCCACATTCTAATGAAGAATGCTGAATGTTGTAAATTTACTGTTTTCCAATCTACTACAGTTACAAAACATTTTTCCATCTATATTTTTTCCCTTATCTTCCTGCTTACTTGCGCATCTCTCCCGGAGCAGTTCTCTCCTGCACAGTCACGTTTGTGGTACAGTAATGGTCCTCTTTGTTTGTTATTTAGGTCTGGTTAAAGATTGAAACTTGGTGAAATGAGTTTGGGATTGTCTTCCTTATAGATCATGTCTACAGACTAGCTCTTGTCTAGTGATACCTAGCTGGCAAACTGAGACTAAAAATATTTTTATTGTATCCAGATAGTTTTCTTTAGTAAAATTATAAAAGTGAGATAATACCAAATGAATTAGAACAATCAGGAAAAGGAACATCTACCCAATACTCTCAAAATTCAGGATGAGTTAAAGAAAATCAGATTGTATGCAGAGAAGAAATAGTCTCTACTTCACCTTTTGGTTGTCTGGGGAGATTTCATTTGTGGATTTTGATGAAGCTTATTTGTGGCTATGAATCAAAAATGTTTAAAATAGAGGACTAGGACAAATAAAATAGAGCTGAATTAGACTGAGGAATTATGAGGCGATATCAATGGCTAGTTCTCCTGTTTCCCAAGACCGTGGAAAGTGAAAATAGGTTGTGTTGCCTGGAGTTCCCTCCCCCACTGGAAGCAGTGAAAGCTAATGATGCTTTTATGTGTCTTCTCACCCTGAGGAGATGAGCAAAGTGAGAGCGAATTG